CTCACTCCTCTCTCTCCTGTAAATATATCATTTAGGTCTGACTTTCTCTGTTGATTTAGGATTGATTTTCACTGATGATTCTTTTAAACGTGTGTTTATCAAATTAAAAATATTAATATAATGAAATTTTACTTCCAAATCTCATGCCTTAAACTTCACTCCCTAATAAAATAGATATTTGATATTTCTTCTAAAAATATTATAAAAATAGTTCATAGTCTCCCATCAAATTTTGAAATTCATTTTTTTTCGTACCAATGAGTCACCCATGATAGTTAACTTTTCTTTTACTTCATAATGCCTCTGTGCTTAATTACACTTCCAAGAGTAAAAATAAATTAACCAACTTGAATATAGTTCAATGGATTAAAACATGTATTTTCGATCAAACGTGTGAGCCACCCATGATAGTTAACTTTTCTTTTACTTCATAATGCCTCTGTGCTTAATTACACTTTCAAGAGTAAAAATAAATTAACCAACTTGAATATAGTTCAATGGATTAAAACATGTATTTTCGATCAAACGTGTGTTTCGAATTTCCAGTCCTCATGTTATTACATTGTTAGGGACGACTTAACTCTTAGCATACATGCACATCGCCACCGTCTGTTTAGATGGGTGGATTCGAGTGACTGTGCTTGCGTGTAAAAGAATTATTATTATTGTTATTTTTTTATTGGACCAAAAAAGAATTATTTGCCGAAATTAATTTCTTGTGGTTTAAAAATTGGATTCTTTATTACCGAGGTTAATTTCTTGCAGTTCTTATGAATTAATTAAATTCTGAAACGTTGCTATGATTTATTCTTGATTTTGAAAACGAAATAACTTAAATCAACCTCAAACTCAAATATGATGTAAAACTATATTAATAAAAGTTCCTTTTTTTTGCTTTTGGAGAGTATATATGTAAAAGTCACATTTAATCTAAGAAATCGTTTTATTTGAAAAATAAAATGAAAAGTTGTTATAAATTTTCGATATATATTAAATTTATGTTGTGGGATTAGTTACACTTAATCTATAAAAAAACAAGTTACACTTATATTATATTTAGAAAAATGAAAATTGTTATAAATTTTAGATAAAAAAAAAAAAGGAACCAAATTAATTAAAACTTCACGAAACAAACGTGTCAGAATATATATTTTTTTAATTTATTTTTTCAGGTTGGTTGGGACTTTCCATATCTGAATCAAAAGTCTCAACCGGACAAGAAGAGTGGCAAAGAATTTTCCAATGGACGATCGGTGGAAACCCATTAGATTTTCTCTAGGTCTTCTTCGCTTTCTATGAACAATCCGCCATCTCATGGCGGCCGGATCGCTGAAGAGGAGGCAGACTAAGCGATCAAACTACAATCCCTATGCTGCCATGGCTCCTCGGTCTTCTTCTCAAGGTTTCCTTACCTCTAGAAATACTACACTGCTAGTTTCGATTTGTCTGATTTTCTTTGTTGTTCTGGTATCCGGCATTTCTTTGAATGTATTTCATAGAACGGCCATATATGATGCTCGATCGCCAAAGATTTACTCTATTGAGGTGGTAAACGAGTTTCCTCATGATCCTAAAGCCTTTACTCAGGTATGCCAATTTCTGAGCAATTTCAAATTTATGGAACGCATTGATTGAACGTGTGAAGGTTTTTATATTCAAATTTCTAATTCATAAGACTTTGATACATCTATCTCTTGCTTCCCAGGGACTGGTTTATGCAGAAAATGACACCCTATTTGAGTCAACTGGCATATACGGAGAGGTGAATTTGTGTTTTGCATTATGCTTGGCCTCGTAATACTTTTCTTTCTTTTATTCATTGATTGTTGTTACTCGAACGCTGTTTCTTTTTCTTTGTTTGCCTTGCCTTTATGCCAGCATCTTCTCAATTGCTACAAAGTGCGATTAATTGTATTATCCTCTATTGCTTCTGTGTATTTTCATTTCACCCAGCGTTGTTGGCAACTTTGTGATTTGCATACTATGTTTGTAGTTTCCTGTACTCTGGTAACTGCATGATATTATTTGATTTTTTTTGTCCACTGTTTTAATTATGTTATTATTTTGTAGCTATATCCGAAATGGTCATAATTAGGTATTGCTTTGATGATTTTGAATATGGATTCATACCCTTATGCCAGCATTTTCTCTTTCATATTATTTTAGAAATTCCAATTCTTTTACATTAAAATAGATAGGGATGAGAATTTGAGGAAGGATTTTAAAAGTTTATAATGTAGCTTCCTCCCATCCGTTCTTTGTTAGTTTGGGAAATTATTACATTTTTAGCTATCTGAATGATTTAAATGTCACTTGTTATCTATTTATTTAGTTGGTGAGAATTGAATGACTGGTTTTTTAATCCTTAAATTTTTTTATTGCTACTTTTATAACGATTTTCAATTACTTCTTTGTTCCAGTCATCTGTTCGAAGAGTAGCTCTCTCTACTGGCAAGGTAATTCTTCATTTTCAGTTTTTCACATGCAATAAAATAAAGTGACACATTGTTGACGTATTGATGTAATCCTTTTGATCAAATTTTATATCAATAAATCTTTGAAAATTATTTTGCCAATGTTTTTAGGTCTGATGTTACAGAGAGATGAAGATATATACCCTTGGACTGATTTTAAATTGAAAATTTTTTAAAAATAGGAATCAAGCTTTTATTAATAAACAAAAGAAGTATGGTGGATGGTAAGGACTCGACCCTATGGAGGAGCTGAGGGGGTTTACAAAAAGTTCCTGCAATGGGTGTTAATGAAAAAAACATTTGTAACTAGAACTTCCTTTTTTTTTTTTTGGCTCTACAGGTTGAGGTTCTTCACAAGATGGATTACTCTTACTTCGGGGAAGGCTTAACACGTCTGGGGAAAAGGTTCGTGATGGTTTAGATATTAATTGTGTTGTTTTTATTCCCTGATTCAGCAATTAAGATAATGGTAATTCATTCTCAAGTAGATATCGTTTGTAATTTTTGTATGAAAGAAGTATGACCTCCATTCATCTACTGAACCACTCGAGTGGTTACCACTTGTTCTCTTCTCCTCCCATATATATTGTTATTTTTTGGTCTTTATACATCATTGGTAGAATTTCCTATTTTGGATGGACCAGTAAAGTACGAAACCAAATGGTCACTTCTTTCAATTAATTGTAATGAAAGAAACTATGAATCCTTTCTACAATAAAAACAAGGAATTTAATCTGGTGTTTTTGTCTGCTCATGAAATCAGTTATTGAAAACAAAACTTGTGCATTTATATGCAGTCCAATTCTTTTTCCATCCTCAAAAGCTTATCTGTTGACTGTTGTTACTTCACCATGTCATATGTATCTCTATACATTATAGCAGTTAAAAGTATACCTGAGAAGTCCTCAACTATGCTAATTAGCACTTTCTATATTCTTTTGTAGGCTGTTTCAAGTAACTTGGTTGAAGAAAACTGGTTTTATATACGACCAAGACAATTTTAGCAAAGTTTGTGCTTCACCCTTTATACCCATTATTCCATTCTTTTTGTGATTCGTGGGCTGCTTGATTCATGATTAGATTGTTAAAATAATGAAGATAATACCTTTCCTTACCAATGTTAATGTTAGAGGAAATTAAGTTCCTGGATCCTTGAATGGTTCACATGATTTCATAACTTTTATTGATCTTTTGCTCGCAGGATTCTAACCATTGATAGGTAGAGAGGTGCCCTAAATTCTACTGTTGGCTATGTTAAATGTCTTTAGCTGAAAAGTTAATTACAAAAACTTTATTTTTGAAATTAAGTCATAAGATGTAAAGATATAATGCTATTTTTATTTTCACAGGTTAAGGAATTCACTCATCAAATGACCGATGGTTGGGGATTGGCAACAGATGGAAAAGTTCTGTTTGGAAGTGATGGGACATCAACATTGTATCAAATTGACCCCAAGACATTTGAAGGTTTCTCTTTCTTGTTTACGTGACAACTGGTGTTCTATTCTCAATTAAATTCCATGACCCTAAATGCTTGTGTTTTCTGTTCCTAACTGGGATAATGATTTTAAACTATCCTGCCTCAATGAAATATTCATCACCTAAAATTGTTTACTGAAGCAACGAATACTATCATAAGTTTTGGTTTAGCAAAAATTTTGTCATGTTACTTTACACTCATGGCCATTTTTCCACTTAATGCAGTTATTAATAAATGGGTTGTGAAATATCAAGGAGACGAGGTGTATAACCTCAATGAGCTAGAATTTGTCAATGGTGAAATCTGGGCAAATGTTTGGATGGTATATTCTCCATGATATTTGTTCCTTTTTAATGAGTCTTTTTTGTTCCAATTTCCAATTATCATTCTAAAGTTTCTCTTGTCTTAAAATAATTAAAGAAGTCTTAGATTCACCTTTCCTAGTAGTTAGCCTGACAATTGCTTTTGGAAATTTTCATACCCCACCTAATGGCATGTGTTGTAAGTTCATATTTTTTTCATTTGGCTCTCTTGATCACTTTTATTAATTTATCTTTTGATAGAAAACAAAAAGTCGTATTAATGAGTGAAAATATTTACAAGTATAGATGTGGATGAGAAATCTCAAACTAAAACTACTATAGAAAATCTTAAGAAATTTTCCGATCTAGGAAAAATGGAGTGTAAAGTAATTCCAAAATCTCTTACATTCTATTACAAACAAAAAGTGATAACAGAAACAGAACTCTATCAAACAACATCCAGATCTCAGTTTTGTTCTAAAGATTGCTTATTCCTTTCCAACCAATGGTCCAACAAAGAATAGAAACTTTGTGTTTCCAAAATGTCTTCACCCTTTTGCTAGCAACACCACCAAATCCCAACAAAATCGTGAGTGCACGTCCCTTTGAATTACCAACAAACACTAAACTGTTGCCCATGATTTTATAGTTGTCTTTTGGATTAACTGTGTTGGTTTCTAATGATTGGAGGGAAGTAAACTTGGGTAGCACTATTGACACGTTATATGTGGAAGTTTCATGATTTGGATGATAGACATTACTGCAATCTGCCCTGACTAAAATATTTCTTCCAATATCAATATCCAATGCCATCTTGAAAGGTTAAGACGTCCTTTGATCAAATTTACAATTTATCAGCGTCTTTAAGTTGAACGTTTCGTAGTGTAATATTGAAAGTTGCCATATGAAAGACTTTGTTTTTTCTGCCTTATGTTCTCTGGTGCACAATCTTGGCTGACCAAAATTTTAATAATCTTTTTTTCATAATAGGTGATGTTATTCAACTGAGTGGATATGTTATGAAATATCAGATATATAACTTTTTTGCTGGCCTTAATTTTTCTCTGGGCGGTTTAAAGATTTAATGTTCCATTCTGTAGAGTGATTGCATCATAAGAATCTCAATACAAGATGGAAGTGTGCTTGGGTGGATTCTCCTCCCAACTTTAAGGTTTTGCTTCTAATACTGTTTGTGTTTTGCAGAATTTTAATGAATTTAACATCAGTAGAAACTCATTGTAATCCTACTTTTCTTATATTTCATTTTACAGACAGGATTTGGTGCGAGATCGGCAATATGTAAGAACTTTAATCAGAATTAAATGGCTATTTTTCTGCCTGATTATGGTCGTCGTTTGAAAACTTATCTTGTGATATTATATATTATTGTATGATGCATTTGACGAGTTGTCAAGGGAATCTAATATTCATGAAACGTTTTAGTTTCTTTCCCCCTTTTTTAATGTATCAGTTGACATGACTAGGTCTTCAATCGCCTAATGTAGTAGTACTGATCATTCTTGCTTACAGAAAATTGATGTTTTAAACGGCATTGCATGGGATAGTGGCAAGAATCGCCTTTTTGGTAAGGAACCAAGAATCTTTGATATTCTAATTGTTCATCGTTACTTCATTATTGTCAACTTATTCATTTAAGAAGGAAAAATATAATTTTAAGAAGAGAGTGCAGAACAGAATTCCTTGGTATTTAAAAGTTCGCATCTCACTATTGATGGGTTCATGGACTTCTATTCGGCACATAATTCTCTGTTTATTTACTTTCGGGTTCACTCTAAAGTTGGAGTTTATTACGCTGCCTTGTCAATGAATCTGTTGTCATCTTAAGTATTTGTTTTCACTTTGATTAGTAAACCAACTTTGCTTTTAATGTGAAAGTACTCCAAATTTCTTAAATACGATGGTTGTCTATATTTATCTTTGGACCGATGCTCCAAAGTTTTTCTTAGTTTCCCTTTTCTTAATACCTGTTCAAGTTCTACTTTGTATCAGTATCTTCTCTGGCTTACTCGAACTCGAATTGTTTGCCATACATGAAGTACATGAGCTTGTGTTTATTCTCCCTACTTCTCTTTCAGTGACAGGAAAGCTATGGCCAAAGCTCTTTGAGATCAAAGTGCAGCCGTCGAAGGAACATTATGGTGATGAAAAGATAAAGCAGCTTTGCTTGCGAGCGCCAATAACATTTTGACAAGCTTTGCTCAAGATCGTTATGTCCATGAACAAGAAGGTCTACGTTCACCTGAGGCAGTCGACAAATACGTGAAGTTCAATTCTCTTTCCATCGTTCTCAGGTAATCTTCTGACTGCGCTCGGGATGATGATAGCCTAAGGGACCACTTGTTTGCATTGCTTAGGTTATGTAGTACTAGATAAACAGAGGCAGGTTATACTTGTAGGATTTGTGTTTTTGGAACCTTTGAGCTCTGTAGACTTTGGAGTTAATGTAAGCTTTTAGTTTGGCATAATACACAGCACTGTCACTTTTGTTGTATTCTAATGGTCACATATCTAAATTCTAAGGTCAGTCATTCGTATTTACTCATTTATTTCATTTTGACAAGGTTGGTTCTAACTCTTATTGTCATCTCTCGACCTAAGCATAGTTCTACTTCTATCTCTAAACAAAATATTTGAATTTTCATCCCACCTATTAAATTTGGAGAGAAAAAATTGTGATCTATATTCAATATCAATGTTCAGGCCATATATTTTTTTTTTATCTGTACTGGTTTAATTTTGAATACTAAAAACTAACTGATGAAGTCTTTTTCGTTAAAAATTTGATTTAATTATTGCATTTTGAATAATGGATAATATAGTTAAAGGAAAAAAAAAGAAATATAAAGACTAAAGTTTTAGTACAGTTCTGTACTTTGTGTTATTAATTTGTACGAACTTTCATTTCTTAACTATTTTAAATAGTTAAGAAATGAAAGTTACTACAAATTAATATCACAAAGTACATTCTTTTTTTTTTATCAATGAACTCTACTAAAATTTCTTAACTATTTATTAAATTTATTGTAAAAAAAAACAATTTATTAAATTTTTCTTAAAAAAAAAAGAGAGTTTATTAATTTCACAAATTTTTTTATCTGATTAATTTCACAAATTTTTAATAGAATAATTCTATGGATTTCACATTATTAAATAATTATATATAGGCTTACCACACGAAATAAATTTACTGCCCAAATTTTTAATAGAATAATTCTATGGATTTCACATTATTAACTAATTATATATAGGCGTACTACACGGAATAAACTTACTGCTCAACAATGAACCTAATTTTTTAAATGTTTGTGCTAAACATACCAGAAAATAAATGTATCTCTGAATTTTCACTGTTCTTTGAATTCTCACCTCTCACTCTTCAGGTTTGAATTTAACTCTCAACCCTCAAGTTAGAATTGTAATACTAAAAAAAGATACTAATATAAATAATTTGATTTTATCAATATCTTGAAAATTAAAAATATCGAGAAAAAACAAAATAAAGAACGGTTCAGAAATGATTTCAAATTAAAATTTTATTTAGAACATAGAACAGTCTGACGTGGCTAACCTTCCATGACAAATGTCAAAGAACTATTGGCCCTCGCCATTGTACTCGAAATATTTCACTCAGATTTGAATTTGCCGCTACTTAAGCTAAGTTAGTTAGTGACCAAAAGATTCTTACGCGAAGAGATCAGATTAGCGACGACCTTAACTTCCTTCCCTAAACCCTCTGCTTCAAAAATGCTGTATCGTCCTCTTCCATGGAAGCGCTCCAAAATTCATAGTTCTATCTGTATCTCTCTCTCTCTCTCTCTCACGCCATGCCATTCAACTTATCTTCTATTCAGAAATGGCTATCGAGCCGCACCGCATTGGGAGTGAAATTATGGGTTCTGATTGTAACTTCCGTTCTGGTATTTCTTCTTTTAATTGTGATTAGTACCTTCATTTGTCATGTCTACTGTCGTCTGCGGAGGCGGAATCGGAATCGTCGAGCTGAGGATCACGAATCTGCGATGTCGGGAGAAGTATTAACGGTGATGGAGATGAATGTAAAGAAGAGTTCCGATGATCAGTTTTCACGGCAAGGTAGTGAGACTACTCAGAATAGTATTGTCACAAATTTGGATTATTCTGGCGGCCGGTACTCGCCGGCGGCGGTCACGGATGAGAGGAGAAGGATCGTCTTTGGGCTGGAAGAGATTGCGTTGGCGACCGATGAATTCAGCGAAGAGAATGTCATTAACATCGAAGATTACGGTGTGGATTACTTTGGAAATTTGGCTGATGGTACGAAAGTGACTGTTAAGATATTCAATGCAAATAATAGGTATGGTCTTTTTCGGTTCTTGAATCTCATAAATAATCCGGTAATATTGTATAAATGATTCAATATCTCTAAAAACATTGATCCATCAAAATTAGATAGCTCTTGTATAAATTTACTCTAATCTAACTTGGCAGAGAGTTTGAGTTAGTGTCGATTTCTTCTCATTTCATATCAATTTCATGTGTTGAGACCTTCGGAAGAGAGAATGTACTCCATTTAAGTTTAGGTTTAATGTCGATGTAACAACAATAGCTTTTGATTTAAATTCTCATTTATCAGTATCGGAGACAACGAATTCATCAGAGAAGCAGAGAGAATTCGGCATATTAGCCATAAAAATCTGGTCAAGTTGCTTGGATACTACACTCAAGGAACTGCTAATAATAGGTAATATCCATCTTTTACCTTTTTTGGCTGATCTTTTAGATGAATGCCAATGTCTTCCATTATAACTACAGAATGTGATATTGCAAACCTTCATAACTTTGTTTGCCCAGGATGTTTGTTTATGAAAATGTAGAAAATGGGAATCTGCACCAATGGCTTCATGGATGCCCACAGAAACCCTTTAGCCCTCTGTCATGGCCCATTAGGATGAGCATTATTCAAGGAATTGCCAAAGGGTAAGATGATATATACGTCCTAGTGTATGCTAAGTTATGCTAACTCTCGAAATCTATGGAAATCTGATGGATGTGTTGATGTTTGAATTTAGGAAATAACAAGTTATAAACCTTCTTTACATTAGTATTTTATCTTCATATTGTCTACACATTTTCTTATATTTTAGGATATTTACTCTGTTTACATCCAAAAGCATACCACCTCTTTATACCAATGTCAAGGTGTCTTTTGATTTATTAAAATATTGATGCACAATATGTTAGCTCGTGTTTACCTTCTGGCTTCTACTCAGAGTACTCTGCAGATTTCAGTACCACTAAGGAGCTATGTGTGCGTCTGCAGATTAGCATATCTTCATGAAGATGTGGACCCGAAAATTCTCCATGGCAGGTTAAGATCCAGCTGCATATTACTTGATCAGAATTGGAACCCCAAGATCTCCGATTTCGGTCTCGTCGAGGTTTTCCCTCCGGAGTACTTGTCAGGACCTAATTTGGTTGGAGAAACGTCAGTAGTCTCATCTTTTTTTCATTGCTACAAATGTTTGTGTGCTCACTTATTCAAAGGAAATTTGTTGATACTCTCAGAAATGAATCCCTTGAGTCAACTAGTCCATTTACAGAAAGGAATGATATTTACAGCTTTGGCATACTTCTCATGGAGTTGATAACTGGAAGAGCTCCTGTGGACTGCAACCAATCTCAAGTATGTATGATAGATCTTTTCTGATATAAAACAAACTCAAAATCTAGTAGATTGGATAATTTCTTGTTGGGTACTCGTAATATGTTGGATAAAATTGAAGATTTTTATATTGGAAATGTATTGTTATATAAATGGAGATTGAGGGAGGTTTTTGGATGAAAAATGCAGCCATATCTGATAGAGTGGGTGAAATCCATGATTGGGAGTCAACAGGCAGTTGAAACAGTGGATTCCAAATTGGAAGAAAAGCCATCCCCAAAGCAACTCAAACGGATGCTTTTAATTGCCCTTCGCTGCCTTGATCCAGACGAACAGCACAGGCTCAGTATGGCCCAAATCCTTCTTATGCTTGAGCCTCGCGACCTTTTACTCGCTGATGTAAGTATTTCCATGCATATTCATATGCATACACACACACTCATACAATATACAAAAATTCTGCATTCTAACATTTTATATATTATGACTTTCACTCCTGGATCTCCGACTAAAACCGACGAATTCAAGAAAGGCTTTATAAGCCCTAGACGTGAAAGTTCACACCTTGTGTAGAATAGATCTTCCCACACAAACCCATTTTTGATCCATGGACCTTAGTATTATAGGCAAACTGAATGTTTATGTTTATGTATAACAAATTAAAGGTACTGGACCAACTTTTTTTTATAGGTACGAGAGTTCGAACTTCAAAAAAAATAAGAGAGATCCCGTTTGTTTGGGATAAAATTAAGTTATATTATTTGTTCTCTCTTTCATAGGAAAGGAAGAGCTGAATTGATGTATTTTTTTATTTGTATCCATCGGGACTAACGGAGCTCGAACCCGCAGCTTCGGCCTTGACAGGGTGGTGTTCTGACCAATTGAACTACAATCCCAGGGAAAAAAAGTGTCCAAAATAGGTCTCAAGAAAATAAATAGGTTACAATTATTAATAAAATTCCATAAACATTATATGAGAAACAAATAAAATATCTTTTGCTCCTATATATAGAAAAATTTATTCAATATAACCTTTTTATATATTATGACTTTCACTCATCGATCTTGACTTGGAAAATTACTTATCAAGATCGATGAATTCAAGAAAAGATTTGTGAGCCCTAGACCTGTAAGCTTAAACTGTGTGTATAGTAGATCCTCCAATGCAAATCCATATTTGATAATTGATCGGTAGATCTTAGTATTATGGGCTGCTAAATGGCTACCCTTAATTATTAGATCAACATGCTCTAATTAATACAATTTTATAAACACGTTTAGATTATATGGAAATAAAATAGCCTTATGTTTAGATCCAATTAATTCTAAGAAATAAAAATTGAGAGAGGGAAAATTAAAGGAGAAACTTTTATGTGTGTGTATATATATGTATATATATTTTGCATGCATACATGCATTTGTGTGTAAGAAAGATTAAAATAACACTTCAATTCTCATTTTCATTGGCTTATTTTAGGGTTGTCGGATCAGAGATAATGAGACCTCCTCTCGAAGTTGTGTTTGATTAAAGCATTCTATTTAGAGCTTTTTATTTTATTTTATTTATTTATTTAATATAACAAGTGGAGTGGGGATTCAAACTCAAGATCTCTCGATTAGAGATAAGTGTCAATTACAGTTGAGGAATGAATTTGAGGTATTAGATTTTTAGGTTCTTTTTTAATCATTATTTTAAAAGGATAAGATGTATAGAAATGAAAATAATTTATTGTAAAAAAATAATAATAAATGAAAAGAAAAAAAAATGTTGCATTACACTTGTATATATTCCTAATGCATATGTTTTAAAGTTCTTAGCTAATAAAATTCTGATTTCAATTAATAAAAAAATAAAAGAAAAAAGAGGTACTTGTGTATACACTAAGCAACAATTAACTAGTTTAAAGAATTATAATTTCTAAAAAAAGACAAAAAATAACTAATTTCATTAATAAAATATTTTTCAAAAAAAAAATTATTAACAAAAAATAAACAGAACAAGAAGGTATTGCTACTGCAAGGTTGAATAAAATGGTGACGAGGACCTCACTTTGTGATCCTAGAAACTTATTAGGTGACAATGACTATATTTTATAACAATTTTATGTTTCATTTCAATTTTAACACTTGATAACAATTCTATGTTTCATTCAAATTTTTTTAAAAAAATTAATTTCATTTTAATTCTAGAACATAAATATTATTTTAATTTTAATAAAAGTAATGATATAAATAATGTATGTATGTCTGTATGACGATGCTTAATAGGGATAGGTTTGTATTTTTAAAATTATATAAAAGACAAGTAGGTCTTGAAATGACTCTGCTATCCGCTTTCAANTCTGCTATGATGCTATCCCACTTTTAATATTGATAAAGATAGAGATAAAGATTCATTATTTTTTTTTATTGGGATGTCTCTATATTATGTATTTCTTGTTATTCATTTCGTTTTTTCCCCTCTTCATCTAAATGGAAAAGAAAAACAAAAAAGAAAAAAAAACTTCAAAACTCTCATTGGAAAATTGTTTTTTTCCACACTTTTTACCTTTTTAGCTGTTACGAAAATGATCACTTTATGGAAAAGAAAAAGAAAATCATAATTCTTAGTTTGAAAATTTGCACAAGTTTTGTTTAAAGTATTTTTGAAGAGTAAAGAATCTTTTCATGGATTATGATTACAACCTAAAGTTGACCGGGGAGGTCGGTGCCAATCCTACAAAATAATTAAGTTTCGTTATGAATTTTTAACTTTTCTAATCTACTTTTTTTTAGAGTTCATATCTCCACATCAAATATTTGTTTGACTTTAAATATATCATATACTCTAAAAAATGATTTTTATATTTGGGGATATAAAGCCCAAAAATACCAAAATATTCTTGGACAAGTTTTTTTTTTCTTTATAATGAATTGAATTGTAGTTATCTTACTAAAATATAGTTATATACTTTTAAAAATTAAATGTATTGCTGAAAATTTCTCTATTATTCCATTTAATTTTATTATTTTTTAAACACTAGTAAATCTTTTGAAAAAACAGTTTTCAAATTTTGATTTTTTTTTCTTTTTAAATTCCGTAAAATTTTGAAATATTTCTAAAAAGGTAAAATAAAACGAGGGCTCAAAACAGAACAAAAGGTAAAATGTTAGGACTTAATTCGAATTACTTGGAAGTCTGGCCTTAATTTTTCTTCTAAACATTTTATCTAAAACAGTAGCTGGGAGATGCCGTCCCGCTCTAGCAACATCTCCAACTGCCACGTGTCCCAGGAGATAACATAATGGCCACGTGTCAAGTAGTGGGCGGAAATTGAAATTTGGAGGAGATCCGCGTAGGAGCCAATAATAGAGTGCACCCCTAAAAAAAGGTAGTTTGGAAGAGACTTGATGCCACGTGGCAAGAGTTGATGGCGCGTGGTGTGGGGGTTGAGTGGATTGTCGTTTTAAGTGATTAGCTGTCGTCTGCTGTTCCTACGACGGCCGTCAACCTCATCTTCATCGTCCTTCACTTTGTTTCCCTTTTTCGCATTCTACGGTCCACAAACATCCCCTCACTCTCCTAATAAATTTTCTCACGTTGTATTAAGAAAAAAAAATCAACATCTTAAAATAGTTACATTATTCTTTCATGAGTTAGTTTGAGATAGTTCGAATTTGAGTTTCATTGGTTAGAATGTGTTGGTGCATGGTTTTGACCGAGGTGACACGTTTGTCGTGTGGTACTTGACCATGTACAATTTGAAGCTTAAGTTAGAATTAAGTTCTAGCCGTTGTTGAATCGAGCTTATATGAAATGCAAGAGATCATGTACGTTTTGAAGGTGGGACTTCGCCTTTTATTAAGAGCTTTATCAGTGCAACTGTCATACCTGTCATTCAATACGCTTTTCGACTAGCATTTAGAAGATTCCTCTGACAACAGAATCATCCTTCCACCGAATATCAGTAGATTTTCTGTCAACCAAAATAATACATCTAGATCAGAGTCGAGCTGATGCTTACTTCACTATGAGCCATTTGTGTTTGGAGTGCTTGAGCTTAGGCCCAGACACACGTGTCCAAACGAAAATGGCCACATGTCGCACTTGATTTTACTCTGTGGCATATTGTTTGGACTAAAAATATACCAAATAATAGTTTAGTTATACTTATTGAAAAAGAAGACACCACATTTGCAACATCACAGCCACCAGATTGCAAGTGTCTTCCTTAAGCAGGATCAAAGGAGTTTACTTTTTTTTTTCCCTTAATCTCAACTTATTTCATTGATCTCCGATAAGCCTCAATTAGCCCTTAGTTTAGGGGAACAAATATGGAAATAATCTCCCTTTAATTTCTTTTTCACCGTTGGCTACTTGCCTTATATTTCTCCTTTCGTCATATATGTAAAGTATTTGTTCATTACTATCTTATTTTTTTTCGTTTTGAGTTTTTCTCTCAAGTCACTTATCTTCTTGTATAAAGCAGTGAGACGATGTCTTGTGTCAGATAGGTAAGAAATCTTATTTTTTATCTTGAGAAAAATACTAAATTTCATTGTTATTTCTCTTTCTCCTAAGTGTGTTTAATTTTTTACTTCAATTTTCCGAACCTTTTTTTTTTGCTAATAAAGTATAAATAAAATACTAATGTATTTTAATAGAAATAAATCTTAAATTTCATAATCTAAATTAAATAACATATAATCTGAAGGTGGTTGCTTCTAGTTTTAGGCAAACTTTCCATCACTCTAGGCACAGTCACTTAGAAAAAGTAGATATAAGAATTTAGAAATACAAATGTTTTGATTGAGTAAAGTCTTCTAAAATGGAATTACTTGGAATGATACCTATTCGCCATTTATTAGTAAAAATTTCAGCCAACTAGAATTGTATTTTGATATTAAATCTCACGTTTAAAATTTATTTAAATTTGGTACCCCTTTCCTCTCATTATCACATGCATCTTATTAATATCGACTTTTTAATACAAAAAATTTGGTGGTTGCCCCGGTGGAACATAATCTTAGAAAGAAAGAATCTTTCTTTCGTAGTCTCACGGTTAACTAATGGTAGCTAACCGTCCTTTTTATAATCAAATAGTGAGATTAAATTTCTCAAAAAATAAAAAATTTGCGAGATTAATAATTTATATGATATTTTAAAATATCAATCAAAATTTTGCACCATAAAACCAATAATTAGGTAAATATTCAATTATTAGTTATTGTGATTTGAATATTTGTGTGAAACATAAGAAAATTACACTTTTTTTAATCTAAATTTATGCATAATTGCTATCATGGTTTTTTCTCCTTTCCAAAAAGAGCGGATAATAAATCAGCTTAGTCTAACTATGTTTTTTTTTTCTTAATTCTTATGGATTTCTATTTATTTTCTTTTATTACAAGAGCTTATTATTCAAGTTTAGACAACAATATTGTTTTATTAGCAGATTTAATCAAACTAATTTGATTGATAATACCACTCATATTCCCACCTCAAACTCTACGAGGATGCACAAAAATTGTATTACTTACAATTTTTTTTTGCGTAGATGGAAAGTTTTACTTTTACTTAGTCATACTTTATAAGCAAAGCTTGTGCTAAAGGAAATTTTAAATTAGAGGATTTAGTTCAAAGTTTCTACAATTAGCTAAAATCTAGGAATAAGTTGTGGTTTTGCAGATTAGCAATCCACACCCCAACAATTTTCACGATAACAATCATGTTTAGATAAATGGGTGTGTGAGTCAAATGTCTTTATTAGATATCCAATATATGAATTAAATTTACCGAACTTATCCTATCACTTAAGTTTTTGGATTGAGTGGTGATTTGTTTATCCTTCTAATGATATCAGAGTAGGAGGTCATGTGTTCCAACAAATTAATTTTCAGGTAATGTAGGAATTTTTTTACGGCTTTGTAACACCATTTATACTTATTGATATATTTAGATATGATAGTGAAAATGGAATAATTATAAACTAATTAAGTTATATTTAAAATCTTATTTATTAATTTAAAAAATTTACATCAACGTCCATAATTTCCACTTTTTTTTCCAAAATATCTATATATGTACATCAAATCGAAACTTCGACATTAAATGTCATCGAGTGGAGACTAAACGGAAACAAGTTTAAATATTTTACCTATATTTTTTTAATAGAAAAACAGAAACAGAGAAAATGGCAATTTCGTATATAAAAGAAAGAAGGGCAGCAAATGCTCCAACAAACTCCACCATTTTATTCACAGATTATTTTACTCCACCACTTCAACTGACAAAAACTTGTGGTCTCTGTTCACTCAACCTCCGGATTTAAGCCCTTTCGCCGCCGTCTCTTTCTCCGAGAACCTCCCTCTTCCTCCACCGCCTATTCTCCTTCATCTCCCATGGCGGCCGGCCTCTCCGCCGCCGTAGCGCCCAAACCATCCCATCTCTTCCTCACTACTTCCCACCTCTCCCTTAAACCTCGAGCTCCATTTCTGCTCCCCCCTGCAGTCTTCCGGAACAGTAAAATCCAATGGAAGGTTCGGAGAAAATCGCTGTTCACCGTCTGCGTGCTCGTCGAGGATCAAAATAGTTCCGGCGAGATGGAGAATCTCGCCGATGAAGGATCACCGATGATTGTGGTCCCTCAGATCCCGTCTCCTCGTGTTGCCGAAAAATTGGCTCGGAAGAGATCGGAGCGCTTTACTTATCTTGTTGCTGCGGTTATGTCTAGTTTTGGAATTACCTCCATGGCCGTCATGGCGGTTTATTACCGATTTTACTGGCAAATGGAGGTGCTCATATCACTATCTCTCTCTATCTTGAAACTTAAATTGTTTTTGTTTCCATTGGCGCCGTCTTCTTTCTGACTGAATACTGAATTGCGATTGTTTAATCTGGCGGTGTGCAGGGCGGAGAGATTTCTTTCTCTGAGATGTTTGGTACATTTTCTCTCTCCGTTGGCGCTGCTGTATGTTTTCGATTTCGTTTCTTCTACCTCTCTACTTTTTCCCGAAGAATTCAATTCGATTTGCCGTTGCCTAATTTTTCGCAATCAATTTGAGATTATCAGGTCGGCATGGAGTTTTGGGCGAGATGGGCTCATAGGGCTCTCTGGCACGCTTCCTTGTGGCATATGCACGAGGTTTCTAAACCTTCTTCTCTATATTATTATTTCGTAATTTGTGTTTGTCTGCTGAGAAAACAACAATCCACTGTGAAGCTTAATTTTTCTCATTTTCCGTCTTCACTTTCCTACCAAACAAACGGTTGAAAAAGAAATCGCTGACGCTTGGAGTACCTAAAACCTTCTTATCTATAGAATTCCGTTGTGTTTGGCCGCTGAGAAAATTTAAACAACAATTCACTGTGAAACTCTCTCATTTTCCATGTTCACTTTCCTAGCAAACAAACAACATTTAAGAAAAAACGATTGGTTGACGCTTGGACTTTGTTGATTTCCGCAGTCGCACCATAAACCAAGAGAAGGACCGTTCGAGCTGAACGATGTTTTCGCCATTACCAACGCCTTGCCCGCCATAGCTCTCCTCTCTTATGGCTTCTTCCACAAAGGCCTCGTCCCCGGCCTCTGCTTCGGCGCTGTAAGTAAAATTTCTCTCTCATTATCTTTCAGAATCTCAGTTTGTTCATATTCCAACTGTTTAATGGTTATTTAATGACTGGGGATTAGTGCTAATGACGGTGTAAAATGACGAAAATAGCCCTGGAAAATGTGGTTTTTGGGTTACTGACACGCTGGCGGGTTGTGGCAGGGCCTCGGAATTACGGTCTTCGGCATGGCCTACATGTTCGTCCACGACGGTCTCGTTCACAAAAGATTCCCTGTGGGTCCCATTGCCAACGTGCCCTATTTCAGAAGGGTCGCTGCCGCTCACCAGGTAAATTAATTAAACTTTTCAGAACACAATAATAATAATCTCCAAAAATCTTTTTTTTATTTACTTAAAATAAAAGTTATAATTTAAATATTTTTCATGTCTGAATTTTTATACTAGTTTTTTTCCTTTCTTGTAAATATTTGTTCCCATTGTTTTTTTTTTTGAAAGATGTACACCTCTGCTAATATATATGTAATAAACGGGTTTAAATTTAAGTTTTAAGAAAATCAGAAAATGTAGAGATCAAAATGAATAGTTAAAAGCTTAGAAACAAAAATATGATTTTAAATTAATCTGTTAATTAAATATAGGTAATAGTTGTAATAAGAAAATAGCTACGGAGTTAAAAAATATAATAGTATTCTTAGACTTTGGACAAGCATGTAGAAAAGTTATTTACGTGTCTGTGTAAATCTAAATTTTAAATATTGTCCACGATTTAAGTACTAAATTTTGGTGATTTTTTTTTTTTTTTTTTTTGGTTTGGCTTTAGCTTCATCATTCGGATAAGTTCAACGGTGTGCCCTACGGGCTGTTTTTGGGTCCAAAGGTCAGTCTATGATCTATTTATCTATTTGTTTTATTGCAAATTTTAAAATTTTTATTATTAACTATTTTCGAAATTTAAATGGTGTGGTGCAGGAATTAGAGGAGGTTGGAGGCATGGAAGAATTGGAGAAGGAAATCAGCAGAAGAATAAAATCAACGGCCACAAAATCAATCAACGGTTCATGATCAACCAGTCGTTTAGAGGGTTCCACTATTGATTATAATGTGAAAATGAGAAGGAAAGATAAAAAGGCCCTCCCTGAGCAGTAATTTTTCCCTGTTTAATATTGAGAAGTGAAATGTTTTCTAGATTACGGCTTCTTTTTCCTTTTTTTTACTGTATGAGGTAAAAAGGTAGAAGAATGAGAGAGTAAAATTGGTAGAAAGGTTTCGCTTTTACTAGGACTTGCTCTCTACTTTTTCTTTGTGTCTGTGACAGTAGAAAAAAGAAAATACACGTCAGCAAAAAGTAAATAACACGGTTATAATTTTGTGTAATTTTGGATATTTCATAAGTTAATAAAATTTGTAATTATTTGGGCAAAAAAAAAGAAAAAATTCAAATATATATTATATAATTCCACGAAGAGCTCTTAGTTTTGATATGAAAATAAATCTTGTTTGGGGATCACGTGGATGTGAAGAAAAAGGGTTTTTCGAGACAAAATTGTAATTATAATTGAATTTATTGTTTAGTCTATAATTTTTGTATGAAAAAAAAAACTGCATTGGTCTTCCTCAGTTTTATGTTGGACGTTTACTTAAATAAAAAAAAATCTATTTTGAAACTTGAAATACATTTAATTGGAACTGAAATTAAATTTATTGTTTAGTCGATAACCTTTGTATAAAAAACCAAACAAAATTAATGTTTTGCTAAGCTGTAGTTTTATTAATATATCGGATCATATGAACATGTCTTTTGAGATGCTATTTGAAACATGAAAATCGTTACTTGAAACATGAAAATCAATCTACGTATAAATAAGACATAAACAAAAATATATATATTCTAAATGGTCATGTCGAAATGTATAAAAATATTTTTTAAAAAAATTAATAAAATATTAAAAAAACAATAATTTAACGATCCATTATCTTTATATTAATAAACATTATCACTTTTTTTCAAAATGATTTAATCGAGAATTCCTATACATTAAAAGTAAAACTTAGAATTTTAAAAGACTAAAGATTAAATTGAGAATTACATTAAAATAAATAAATTTAGAGATCATTGACTAGAAAAAATATAGCATATAAGAATAAAAATAATAAGGCTCCTCAATTTTAAAAAGGTCTCTCTAAACTTTTAAATTTGTATCATTATTAAACTTTAAAAAATGTCTATATAATCTATAATCAAATACATCTATTTTTTTAAATATTGAGTAATTAAAAAATTTATTAGATATAAAATTGAAAGTTGAATATTTATTAAATTGTAAAATTGAATGTATAATTTAAATTAATAATAATATCAAAAATAAGATAAAATTTATTTAGTATAATATATAATGATAGAGATTCGAACTATAACATTTTAATAGTAAATTTTACTCAATTAAATTGAGTTAAAGTTTTAAGTTAGTTATTGGGTGGATGTGAAAGTTGAAAATTGCCAAAATATATATTTATTTTACGTCGGAGATTCAATCTTCATTTGTACTTAAATAAAGGAAAAATCGTTCAAAGTTGACTAACCCGTATAAATCGCGTGCATTTTTAAATGAAATTCTATATTGCGAGAAGAGAGAGGCGTTCACACTTCACACGCAATGAATGACCTAAGAATCTTCTGTTTCAGTTTCCTGTCCGCGCGCCTGCCGACGCGGCCGCAGTCATCGCCGTTGGCGCAGTGTGGAGATTTCTCTCTCTCTCTCTGCGATTTCCACACGAGTTATGCCGAAAGTTCGGACCAGAAACAAAGCAGTTTAGTGCCGAAATGGGTCCACCGGAATTTCATAATAAGGTCGGTGAATAGTTTATCTGCTCTGCTTTGATTAATTTAAGAATAATTATTGAGTCGATGAGTGTCTACGTTTCTTGGATTAACAAATCCTATTCAATTCCGGTCGTTATTAGGCTAAATCACATGCAAATTACAAAAGTTTCTTTTTATAATTAATGCGGTTTTTGTCTTTGTGGGTAAGGTTGGCCACGAACTCTACCAAATATCGCGCGCCATGTGTTTGATAAAAAGCCTAGAATCTAGACATGACCAATTTTGATGGGATTTCCGATTTCTTCTGTTTCACCGTACCTTTTTTTTAATGCATTTCGAGATGTTTCTTCAATAGTTTTATCAAATGTTGAAATCTTATAAAACTCAAATCCACCCCATATTGCACTCCACATGTTTGATGAAATGCCCCAACCAAAAAGCACTTGCGAGGGATGAAATGAGTCAACCCCATCAATTGCCCCTTTTTGCCGATTGCATCAGCCTAAAATTTTGATGTCTCCATTCGGGGTATTGGGTTTTACGTGTCGATTTCTCACGCTCTCGCCTATGCCCCTCGGGAAATGCCTCACCCATTTCTCTAAAGTGAAAGCCGTAGGCCTGGGGGTGGGAGGGTTCATGCACTATACTTTTTAATTCTTTAAATGGATAGTTTATAATATCCTCTTCCTCCATTATCAAGAACAAATGCTCCCACTTTGTCAAATTCTTGCTTTATTGGTTTCTTCTTTTTTGGCTCTTTTTTCGTTTGCTTGGTTCACATGTTTAATTTTGGTTTGTTTAGTTTATTAACAAACGCAATGATGTTATGCTGACAAGCTGCTTTAAAAACTTTGAGAAGATTCAAATGGTGGTTCCTTTGCTGCTCATTGATGAATGGCCTATGCATGTAGAAATGACAAATATAATTTCATTCCTTATCCTTTTCATTATCATGCATCTATTTTTATCGACTATCATCTACCATCGAGCTCTTTTTAAAGTGACTTCTTCGAATTTTTAAAGTGACTTCTTCATTTAGTGTGAATTTGACATGATTTTTGAAATAGTAAAAAAGTACTTTTTAACTTATTAAAATTAATTTTTAAATCTTTCATAATGTTTGATGGCATGATCTAATATATTTTTTAAATTTATACAAATCGAATTTCAAGTTCACTCGCTTATATAGGGTAAGTTTGGAATGACTTTAAAAAAGTAGTGTCTTTTTTTTTTTTAAGTAAACAATTTTTTCTATTAATATTTTTTGAAGAAGCTTTACCCAATTGCATCTTCTAGAAAGTACAAAAGTGCGTTTTAGAACTTTAAAAATCATTTTATACATAGATATATATTGAATAAGTTCATAAAAAAGGAAGACAAAATGAATGAATAAAGGAAAATTCTTGCGAATAAGTCTTTCAACATCAGAAAAATTTTGAATAGTATGTTTGGTCGACTAATACTTTCTACTATTTTAGAAGTGTAGTAAATTCACTCGTGAGTTTGAGAAGACTAATAGAATAAACGCTTTTAGAAAAAGTACTTAAATTATAAACATTCTTAAAATAAGGTTCAGGTGTCTCACTCTCTTGAATGTGACTTTTAAGTATTTCTCTCTCAAGCACTTTGACGGATAACAATACAAATGTCTTTCACGCAAAACATTTATGTACTCTTTTTTTCTTTTTCTTAGAATCATTTCCTACTACTCTAAAATATTACGATTTCGTAAGCAAAGTGTTTTATGGCCATTGAAATAGTGCATCGGTCGAATTTCTAAAGATCTTTTAGTTAAACAAATATAAAGTTGGGGTCAATATAAACTTTGCGGTAATGCATATCTTATTTATTTAGCTACGTTGGATTGACTTGTAAAATATTATTTTCTAAGCGGTAGTTAGTTTATATTGTGCCTACCATGTTTGAATAGTTTCTTCAATTTCATAATGGAGTGTTTTGTCTTTGCACTGAAAGGGGGGGTTACAGAAGAAATATAATTTTATGGAATGAGGGCTCCATACTTTCTATTCACCTGAAAAACCCTTTGGACGGAATTGGTCCCATTTTATGCCAATCTTGTCTCCCACTTCTTACCATCAACAGTAGTTTGAATTTATTTATTATTATTATTATTATTATTATCATTATTATTATTATTATTTTTTGGCAAAGGAGTTTGGAAGTTAATCTACAGCTTTGGTTGCGTCCCACCACTTTAGTGCCTGTTTGTTTCCAGAGAAAATTCGTAAACGACAAAAATTTAAAAAGTTTCGTGGAAAGCGGAATTTACGAAAGCGTGCACGTAATTCTCGTAATTCTTGTCTTTTATGAGTCAGTTCACTTTTCTTGATCTGCTGCTTCGAACTCAACACTGAAATTGTGGTTAATTTACAGGAGAAGTACGCCATGCTAATGTGCCTTGGATGTTATAGTTTAAAAGTTGTAATAATTTTATCTTTATTGTAAAATATTTCATCAAAATTAAGTGTTATTCTTATTATATCACAATTTAGTCTTTGTAAATTATAAATATATTTTGTCTCTCGTTAGTTTATCTAAATTGTTAGAAACTTTAAACTACAAAAATTAAATTGTTACATATTAAAGTCAAGGGAGCAAATTTGGAATAATAAATGGTCACAAGTTAAAATTATAGATTAAATGTTATTTCAATGGGAGTACAAGGACTAAAAGACTAAAGGTGGTTTTTTAAACCAAAATTTAACTTTTCCTTTTCAAAAAATGGTTTTTTTTTTCTAAATGATTGAACATTAAAAATTTTTTGAAATTGATATAGAACCGACTGTCCTCAGAAATTACATGAAAGAAGCAACTTTAGATAGACAGGAATCTTATGCTCGATGTAGGAAAATATAATAATAATAAAATTGTACAACGTTTATTGGTATTATGTGATGATGAATATTTAAAGTTGTATATGTTTATATTTTTCTAGGTAAAATTTAGATACCATCAAATGGTTAAATAAATGATTAATATATTGATTTAGTTATTTTTATTTAAAAATAATTATAGTTTTATACTTCAGAAAATCCTTAGTGGAAACGTAGTTTTCCACGAATCCTATTTTACTTTTGAAATTAGGGCTTGTTATTATATTTTGGGATGATGCCTAACTTGGAATGAGTCACCGATCCAACTTGAATAGTTTCAACTTTCAATGATTTTTATTTCTTATCTCAGAACAAATATGTTAAGTTGAATTGCTAAAATTGATAAATTATCAATCGGTCATAATCAGGTAAAAATAACTATTATATGAACTTTTGTTTGCAGTAATCAATTGGTTAGAGACAGTCAGGCAAAAATAACAAATTTTCAAGAAAATGTTATAAATATAACTAACTTTTACGTAATACTATATTAGTAATTAGTTTATAAAATACATATTTAAAAGTATTTTTAGAAAAAATGAGCCAATAATGAAAATTCCCTAAAAGCAAACAACCCCATGATTCAAGTTTGGGCCTTAAAGACCGTCAAAAGAAAGTTTGGGCATTGCATGGTTCCATCCAGTGGTAATGGGTACAGTTCGTTGGAAACCTTCAGTACTTTAGTAAAGAGTCGTACAATCTCCTTCCTTTCTTTTTCTTTTATTTATTTATTTTATATATATATATAGGAATTCAGATATTCTAAATCAATTATTTTGTTGTTGATCTTGCATCTTCAAGGGTCTCTTATTATTATTTTTGCATATGTTGATGATCTTATACTTATTGCCTATGATTCCACCACCCTTTTCTGGTCCTTCATGGATCTGCAGAAGGGAAATACTGTTCAAATAACTGTAAAGGTGTGAAGTAGGGTCAATGTTTTTGCTCTTATGGACCTTGAAGAGTTGTATTCTTTTAGCTCCATTTAGTACTCAAACCAAATATGGATTATCTCCTTGCACCAATTAGTTTAGCCCACATCAAGCCCTTTGTTATTCTCCTATGGCTATGTTTGACCAATCCAATATCTACTGCAGTAGATATGGTTCCATCCAAACCTGCTACTGCCTCTATCATCAACAAACTTAGTCATTTTGCTCAGACCCACCTGGCTTGGTCTGATACCATACTTCTTGATACTCATAATATAAACCTGTTGATCAGTTCACTCTCACCAATTCTTCTGGTGCTAACTAGTCCACTTGCCTACTTGACCCTAAATCGCATCTTTGTGCATTTCTTGGCGATAACTAAATCTCCTGGTCCTAAAGAATCACTGTTGTTTGTTGCATCATAGAATCAGAATATCATGCACTTGTGCGTGTTTCAATTGAATTAATTTGGTTTCAATCTTCATTTCATGAACTGGGAATCTCTCTTGCTGTCATTCAATCTCTTGATGTGATAATATGGCACCACTGCATTAGATTCCAATTCGGTGTTTTGTGCCCATACTGAACCCATTGAGATTGAGCTCCATATTAGTCGTGATCAAATTCTATGGTAGATTGGAAGCTCATAACATTTCTTCTTTAGATCAGGTTTCTCTCCTTTACCAAAGTTCTTCCAACTCACATTTCTTCCTTCACGGAGACAAACGTGGCCTTGTTTAATCTTCTTCAAGTTTGAGGGGGATTTAGGACACAAAATTCTACCCCTCAGACTTCTCAATAATACCTCGTCACTTTTGGTCATTGGCTGTGTTTTGTTCTTACACGTGTATTGTTGTGTACTTGTGAGTTTTACACCCCCTTGTATCTTGTGCTTGGAAATCTCAGATTCTCTTCAACCACTCTGAATTTGTAGGTTTAGTCCTGCTTTTTGTGATGGTTTCTGGCTGAGAATGAAAGCTGTAGAAGAATCCCAAATAAGATTTCTTATCAAAATCACAGATTTCACTGTAACTATTGCTATTCTGTACAGGGAGCACATTGATATTTTTTAAACGGAGGTGTTAAGGTTGGTAAATATGCTTTTGATGCTGTTAAAATAGTCTCTGATTATGACTCGTTGCTCTACTAAATTGATTACTTTTTTTCTGGTCAATCAGGAGGCTCTAATGTCTACTGATCTTAGGATACTATTGAATAAAATCAAGGCTGGCAGAAATTTGATTTTAAATGGAATGGTATATTCTCTCAGCACATTATGTGGTTGACACTGTATGATATTGATATTTTAACTTTATGATGCTTGGATCACCATAATAGTTCTACAACTTTGATACCTGTAATAGTTTATACTTTAGGATGTAAGGATTTTGACAAGTTATTCAACTGAAAAAGAAGGTTGACAACTCTATTCGAAAAACAAAGTTATTCTAGTTCTTTTTCCCAAAAAAGTTTCAGTCCGATGACTTGACGAGTCATCTACTTAAAAGAACCCTCCCTGCAATGCAAATAGCCCGACCTCTTTGAGTTAATGAAATGCATTTCGACCCCAACACCCAGCTTGCCAAGGTAGAAGTGGTTCTAGAGTTAGCCCAAGTGCTTCTAGATCATTTATTTTAATGCTGACTGATTCCAACTTGGTTATTCTTTTGAAGTTTTCCCCTATTTCTTTCATTACTAATTCTCATTGATGACCATAGTTCAAGAGCACGTTCCTTTATAAACTAAGTGACAAGAGACTAGCTTTGAGCCTCTGAATGTCACAGATCAAGAAGTTAAGGAATCTCTAGCAATAGTGATTACACATTAGTAGATATGACTTTTGCTATGAGGTATGATTATATTCCATCTGCAATCTTCGTCGTGTTTAACTCATGTCGACGAGATAGTTTTAACGCCATGACAAAAATAAAGGAAAAGTAACTCACTGTTTAAGATGCTTTTGCTCTCTTATTGAAATCATCCTCAACTTGTCTTTATATTTACTATGGTTTGAACTCTCTTCAATACAGCGGAGTTGTCTTTTCTCGAAGGGAGTCGGAACAAAACTCGATAAACCCAAGCTATCTCTTAAGTAGTCAGATAAAAATTCAACTCTTCTTTCAGATATGAGGTAACTAGAAGTACTCAACAAAAATTAAGAGAGTGAATATAATGATCTTTTTCATTGCAGATTGGAGGGTAGACTATGAGAAACTATACAAGCTTCCAACAAGAATCACACAAGTTGGAGATTTTACAGCTATTAACCTCTGAGAACAAACAAGGTAAGTTTTTTTTTTTAAACTTCAGCTGCAATATTCTAATGCAGTAATTCTTGATTTGGAGTAGAGGATATAAGTGCTTCATCCATCTTCAATTTTCCATTGGACCAAGCTGGTAAATATGACAATTACATAAAAAGAAAAATAATTTTTGGCAGAGAAATTATGCTGCATAACATAATTTAATATCTATTTTAATTAATATATCACTATGTAACTTTCTAGCATATTTGATAATACATATTTATTTTATACTATTTAGGTAAATGTGTCTCTAAAACGTGAGAAATTATGATTTTATTGCAATATTTTTCTTTAAATATTAATCAAATTAGCTGGAAAATAAAGAATAAATTAGGGAAATTTTGTTAAATAAGCTGCCATCAATTCTACTTTGTATTGCCTTCAAAGCAAAACCTACATTTGCTACCCAACAATGAATGAAAGCACTTTGAGATCAAAGTATTGCCTCAAACTGAAAGTAGATAAAATGATAAACAAAGAACAAAAGTCGTGTCCTATCCACTTTGGATCTATTCTCATGTTTCTATTTTTGGTAGATTTGTTTTAATTATAAAATAGGCTGATTTAGTTTTTTATTAAGATAACTAAATCTTTATGTTTTTTTAGTACAACATGTACAGAGGATCGGAGATATATATCAATTATCGCTGCTAAACCGTAACTTTTGCTGTGGTTCCATTTTTTGAAGGATGTGAAAATGTTAATTGTGTTATAAATTTTAAGTTTTTTTTTTAATGGGTCTATTGCTAACTTCTTTTATATATTGTAGCTAAAATCTTTATACTCCAAAAAGAAATTTAACAAATCAAGAAAAAGAAAAAAAAAAATATATATATATATATTACTCTGTTAAAATAAATTTTTGGTCCCTAAATTTTCATTGAAGTAACGATTTAGTCCTTCAATTTTAGTGTGTAATGATTTAGTCCTGCAATTTAATATATGATAGTATGTAATAATTTAGTTCATGAAGTTTAAAACTTGTAACAATTTAGTCCTTGTTGTAAAAATTTTTGTTAAATTTCTTATACATATAGATTGATAAATCGATGAGAGGTCAAATGTGTTTATAAATTACAAAGGCTAAATTGTGTTGGATTTGTTAAGTGATTGAGGGAAGGGAATGATCATGGATATATAATAGAAGACAATTATCTCTATTGGTATGAGGCCAAAAGCAAAGCGGTAAAGGCTATGTCCAAAGCGGACGATATCATACATTGTGGAGATACGAATACATTAATTTGTGTTTTTTAACCTTAGTTTAATTACCAACAGAGAATATATTTGCGAATTTATTAGCGAAGGAAAATTGAAAGTTGCTTAAAAAAAAAGAAAGGAAAAATATAGTAAAAGCGAGTTTGAAGTGGGCCAGCCGATGAGGGCCGAGCCGCCAAGAACGTGTCAGCCAGATAATTCTGGATTCCACCTTGCTTTACATCAAGGCCAGCCATCTTGTGCCACGTGTCGACTTATGGTTCGTGGATGATGAATTATCTTCACTCTCTCACAAAGTCAGTTTTCTATCTTACTATTTCTCCGACGTAACGTAACTTCGTTTCTCTCTGTGTCTCTGGATCCCAAAACCGGCAAAATCTGAACCCTAAATTTTCTTGGGGCTTTCACTTCAGAGATCGGTATAATGGAGATGGGGACCTCTTTCTATTTTCTGCCATTTTGAAAGGTTTTGCTTCTCTTTCCTGAGTTCTTTGATCCCGAATTTGTATATTTATTGTTTTCCAATTCCTCTGACATGTACCTTCTGCACGGCTTACTTCTGGAACTCATCTGTTGTTTGCCGTCTCTCGCTTTCGTTCCATACATCACTAAGTTTATGAATCGCTTCTGGATCCAAAGCTCCAGGATCTGAACCCTAATTTTCTTGCGTATGCTCTTAATGTGCGCTTACCTGCCGTAGGTTGTAAACGTTTTCTTCTCTTCTGCTGTGATTTCTTTTTAATTTGGCTTTTGGCTTTTGATGCGGATCAAACGTTTTAGAATCTGTGGTCAAGTATCCTGGACCATGATTGCGCGGAGCGGCAAAGAGAGATGCGATTTAGCCCCCTCTCCCTTTTCCTTTTGCTTTCTCTTGAAACATTTATTCTTTTCTTGCGCGATGAGGAATTTGGATTGAGTTTCCTGGGTGGCTGGGTTTACTTTTATCTGTACATTTTGCTTACTGTATATCTCGATCTGATGTTAAATATTTGTGGAAGTAGTTTGTGAAGTTTAAAATTCAAGGTTCCATATTTGATCGAGGTCACTATTCACTATGTTCGACTCACTATCATGGGTATTTAGTGCCTTGTTTGTCGACCTGATTGCTGGTTTCTAACATATTTAGTTTAGTGCCCGCCCTAAACTTTTGTCTTGATCAGAGGATGGAACCTAAGACTGATTCATTTACTTTTACTCAATTCCTAAATACATAGTAGTAGGACTTTCAATGGAGCTGGGTGCGAAGTCTCTGTCAAATTTGAATTGATTAGTCACATATGCTTTGTGTGCTCATGGGCATGTAATTGGTGGTTTGTAGACCTGATTGCTGGTTTCTAACATGTTTAGTTAATATCCTAAACTTGTGTCTTTATCAGAGGATAGTACCTAAAACTAATTTCTTTACTTTTAGTCAATTCCGAAGTACATAGTTAGATTAGATGGTCATGGTGGTGGGGTGCAAAGTCTCAGTCATATTTGAATCGATGGTCGTTTATGTTTTGTATGGGGGTTGTATCCGCATTTAATTGGATTTTTCTTTGAATGTTTAATGCCTTCTTGAATGAGGTATGATTATCACATGTGGAGCATGTAGGTGAAGAAAAGATGATGTAAGTCAATTGTCATGCGAAAGAAAGAGATGAAGGTGTAAACCTGCGACTGCAAACTTAAGATTTGCTGCTTAGGCAGCCGATGGCTATTAAATTCTATAATTACTAGTTGTATGCTATATAAGAATTTGGTGGCAGTGAACATCCCTTCCTATCATTTTCACCCATGTTTTTTTTTGTTGAAATAATTTTTGCGTTACAAAATCTGTGCAAGGCATGTTGTTTCTTCCATGGCTTTAGAAATTGTAGTTTACATATGATGATTATTTTATATTTCTCTTTACGGGGTTTGATAAGTTGGACCTTTTTTAGCAGTCTGACTTCAGCAATGCTTTTTTCTACGGTCTTGAAGACTATTGACTAGTTTATTCTCTTCATTCCACAGCCATCCGGAAGGGTCATGTGAGTTGCTCGAGTTTAGACAGCTTTGTATTTGTTGCTTCCATTGGAAAACTTTTTTTGGTTTATTTGATATGCACAAAATGGGTAAGTGGAAAGGTTGTGGAAAACTAGGACGACTGGTGCCAAGAGGTGGTTCTATGACTTCTTACAAATATGCTCTTTTGTTATCACCTGTTGTCTCTGTCTGGGATTGCATTGTTAGGAAAATGAGGTACTCCTACAGACCTGAGTGGGTGTAGTGTTTAGGATAGTAAAATTATAGTAGATTTTCGATAAAGTGATCCACTATAGATTTTATAGCATCATGATGAAAGGATGGAAAAACAATTACAAGGATACATATACTACTACTTACAATTAGTTCTTTGAAAAGCTTAGTTAGGTATGGCTAGTTTTGTGGCTAGTATGGGTAATAAAGGACAACCTATCGTGAAGAAAGCAAAAAAGAAGCAGGTAAAGGATGAGTTGGATCGTCAGAAACAAGCTGAGAAGAAAAAGAGGCGGTTAGAAAAAGCCCTTGCTACTTCAGCAGCTATTATATCTGAACTTGAAAAGAAAAAACAAATGAAGAAGGAAGAACAACAGAGGCTGGATGAAGAAGGTGCTGCTATTGCTGAGGCTGTTGCTCTGCATGTTCTGATTGGTGAAGACTCAGATGAATCGTACAAGATTCTTCTAGAAAATGAGGGTCTCAACCACTGGGAGTGCCCTGGCCAATTTGACCACGTAATGGGTGTTACAAGGCCAGGCATTCCAGTGCAGGAGTTCGGGAGGTGTTCACTTGAAGGGACTGGTTGGACCTCTAACATCGATGGATTCGGATCGATGTGGCATGGTTTTAGGAATGATTACTGGTCAATCTCGGGTGCACCTTATGCCGAGGATCACCACACATTATGTTTCAAGCAAGTTGATGGTGGTGTAAGTGAGATCTCTGCTGGAATTATCGCAGCACAGGCTGTTTCATCTCTTCAGATTACAGTGGACGAGAAGGAAGAAATCGACGTCCTTAACAGAATCCGAAGGGGTATGTAAATTACTTCGCAGGTTAGTAATGGTGATACCTTGGTTTGGTTCATGATCCTTCATTGTTGAACTGAGTTATGCCATTTGCCCGGGAGTTCCGTTGTTTTTTCGCAGGGGAGTTCCAAGTTATCGAGTTCTTGTAGTGTGCTGCCAGGCATGCTCAGCAGCAGTTTAAAAGCATTCTTTTCCAAGCCTGTTCATTGAGATCGCTAGTCCAGTGGCTTGTTGAATTGTATTTTATATGAATTTGTACTGTATAAAATGTTACATGCTTCAATGACTTAACTGGGTTGCTTATTCTGCTTGGGAGTGAATGCTGAAATTAGTAATTGTTCCAATGGTTATAGACGGTCTTGCCATAAATTGTTTACTTGCGACCTTTTTTCCAGCTTTATCTACTCGAAATAGAGATCTTTTTCCAGCAATACTAGTGTGATGGACAACTAACTAAAGCTAGTGAAATTATATTTATATATATATAATTTTATTCATATAAAGAGATTTGTATCAGCAGACAGATGAAATTATTTGGATTTGAAGTCCAAAAATTAGACAACCTTTAAACGAAAAATTTGTTGCCCGGTCTGAAATAGACAACAGACGTGATTTACCATATGAATAAAATGGGTAATTTTTGCTAGAAAAGACAATAGTTCAAGCAAAATCTATCCGAAATTATGAGACCTGCCGTACGAACTTTCAAAGAAAAAAATCAGAAGAGAAATGGATTCCACCTAGCGAGGTTCAAATCTTCATACTTTTTTATCCTACAAAAAACCAAAAAATGAGTTACATTATCTGTAAGATCAACTTGCACCTGCACCTTTCGCCCACTTAGGATCTAATGACTTGCAGGTTTCACTGCACAGAAGATCATCAGATGCAAAAGAAAGGGCCGCGCCACAAACGCACACAAATTTATATATTTCAGTAATAAAAATGAAATTTTACACTTAATCAAACAAATAAACCTAAGTTCATCAACAGGATTCCCACTCATACCTAACAATTGTGCAAAACAACATTTTCACATATCATGTTGAGATCGCGAGTTGAGCAATATTGGTGTCTCTTCATTTGCTCTGCGTTGTTGCTGAGCATCTTCAACTCGATTCTCTATTTCTGAACTACTCGATGGTTTGGCGCCAGTAGTAATAAGATTCTTAAACCATGCAGCTTGAAATCTAGAAGTACCACTATTTGAATTGCTAGTAGACTCTGGAGCAGATATGACATTGTTTGTGGCCCCAAGGAGAAAACGGTAAGCCACTTTGCTTGCCGATATGATCTCTGTCTTTGCTTGTCTAAACTGCAATAACCCCACGAAAACCACCATATCAGGTTAAGTTCATAACAAAGATTTAATTGCCCAGCCCTTTGCATATAGTTTATCATGTCAAAAGCATCTCATTTTCTTTTCTGGAAAAAAAAAAAAGAATAAATTGTCTTGCTTTTAGGTAATGAGACTTGGGAACTTTTAAACCAAAATGACACATAATCCCAGACACTGGTAGTTAGAATGGTATTGAAAATTTTGACCAAATTCCAGAACTCCTCTTATAAAGCCATAAAAACGTATTGAGTGCAGATCATTCATATACAGCTGGAATGCGCAAATCAACACTAAACTTCATTACCTAAAAGCAACAAATTTAGTGCTTTTTCTTTTCTTTTTCTTTTTCCCTTTGTTTTCAGAAAAGAGACGTTTTTAACAAAAATATGCCAAAATGCAAAGGGCTGAGCAATTGCAAGTTGTGGCAAAATTCTCCTTAGAATATGCAAAATTTTGTACTGCTCGATCCAAAAAAGTCTCATTACAAGATGTAAAATGTTATGCGGTAACAAGTTGCAGTAAAAATCTCACCCGGACTGCTGTGTTTCCAGCTACCTCCAATGCAGCATCACCAGCGTTGGCAAACCGGTTAACCCAGCCTATGACAGGATAAACATCATCAGAGACTTCTTTTCTCCCAGAAAAGAATTAATTCCACTTGTTAAAAAAGTGAGAAAAAAAAGTCCACACCCCCACCCACAATCCTTACCCATCAGTCTTAACATTGTTTATCACCAAGTATTTTCCAAAGAAAGCTAAATTTAAAAGCATCTACCTCCAGTATCTCATCCTATCGCCACTGTCCAATCCAGACCTTCAAATATTTTTATTCATATAACCATTACCTCCTTTGAAGTTTAAAACTTCTTACTGTTTGCTTACTCTTCACCACTTGACAAAGATCATAGACTAAGATGGGGAGAAATAAGGAAACCAAAACCAACGACAGGCAATTATTAGGAGGAGAATAAATGAGTAGGAAAAAGCAACAACTTCCATGGACTTGCAAGGACAACAAAATAAAAATGACAAAGAGAAGCGATCAGTTAATTTAGTTGAAGGGAAACTAAAAATATAAATTTAAAGAAGACAAGGAAGGAGACAAAAAAAAAAAATAGAGAGAACTAGCCAGAAAATGAAGATGTATGTGATGAGATTTAATCTTCAAGAAGGCCCCAAACTTAGTTGTGGGCATAATCCCCATGGGCCAGAAGAAGTAAAACATAAGATTCTTATAATTTATAAAAGTATGTGGTGCTTCAAAATGTTCTGTTTGCCTTGCTGCAGAGTTCAACTTCATAATAGGATCCAATGCATGTGCCTCAATATCTCTTAAAGACCAATAATGTACTTATTATTAACATACTAAATGAGCTGTTTAGAGCAATATAAGCCACTCATAAGCAATGCCATCTAAAATTGGAACAACAGACAGCAACATCATCTTGAATCTGTGATGATACAAATACATGATGAGTGGCAAATGAGACGAGGTTAACATGTTAGATGTAAAATAATTTTCTTGGGTTATCTCCATGAAACATTTTAGATGACTAGACGTAATATATCTAGTTAATGCTCAACCTCAAATGCTTACAGAAATGATCTCATCTCAGAACAAAGATCTTATTATTACGAATCGTAATAGTATGAACTCAGATAACATTACCTGGAAGCTTTGATACATTGAGCATCTCACAGAACTGATCACAGAAGTGGTTACAGTTTCTTGATAGCAAGTCATATGAACATCCAGGCCACTCTCTACTAAGTTCTCTTAAAATCTGATTCACCTTGAAAATTGAACAGTTCGTTGTACCAAGGTTAATACTTTCACGATATGTGTACATTGGATTCTGTCCAGAAGGGCAACTGAAAACTCCAGTTCCTTGCTCGCAAAACCCAAAGGACCATTCATCATCTCCATAAACCTGTAGGGCATAGCATAATTAATCCAACGCCCTGTTCAACCATAATAGACACAAATCTATGTAGAGGAATTATGTAAAGGAAAATTTAATTGGCAATGAGCAGAATGGCGAAAGCTTCATTAGCCTTGTAATTCATTCAAGACTAATGTTTCATCTCTTCCAAAAGGATAACATTAACAGTAAGAGAAACAAGTACAAACTCCTCAAAAGTCTTAGATGAACCGTAACACAATATCTTTTCAGCAGGTATTAAATCTCTACCTCTAATAGAGCCAATATCAACCTAAATCAAAGCAACACATAATAATACAACTGGATCATCTAAGACAAAGCCGCATTCGTCTGAAATTCACACATGCCAACCAATGAAGAAACGAATTGTGGCAATTAGCGAGAGATGGAATCTAAGGATAACAGGACTACAGAATTGAAAACATCAATACTTACTCTACAAGAACATGCAAAAACGTAAAGAGAAACAAAAGAGAGAGCGAGAAACCTGAACAGCGCTATGGAAGATACCGCCAAGACCAATTCCATCCTTGAAGATCTTGTTGATATTAACGATTGTATTGTTGGTCTTATCTGATCCGCTATTCGTGACGTCGTATATGTGCAGTATCACGTCGGTCATTTTTCAATAAAAACGCAAACCAAAAACCCTAACTGTAAACCTAGTCCTCTTCTCTCAGAATTTGAAACAAAATTACCCTAACCCTAAATCTACCGCCGCTCTCTTCTGAAACTTCCCTCGCAATGTGTCTCAGTCTGAGGAAATTACTTGTATCAATTGGATTCAAATGAAATCAAAAGAACCTTTCAGCCAACGTCATCTCTACTTCACTATGATTTGCTCTTCGCTGTCTCTGATTTCAAAATCTTCTCGCCTCGATTGTCGAGATCTCTCTCCCTCTCTCTCTCTCTCTTGTCTCGTTTTTCTTACTCTAAAAAAGCGAATTGGAATTCGGATTTCGTTTTGGAACAAACACTATTGGATTTCCGATTCGAATGAAAGCTGTGAGTTGCATTTTAAATTTAAATAAATAATGAAATACATAAAATATATTTTATTTTTTTCGAAATGATTGTAGAGTCACGTATATTACAAAGTTGCCCTTGGAAGTGCGTAAAATTACAAAAATGGGAAATTGAGGTACAGCTGGCGTGGCAGTCGGTGCCAGGTTGCGCGATGAATGGATGATGGGCAAAACCCATTGTCTGAAATGAGATGGACAATTGGGTCCCACGTGGTCGTGCCTTCATCAACGGTTGCGCCCGACTCATTGTCATTAATTAGATTAGTCGTCATTACGCATGTCCAATACACGCATTAAATATCATTTTCTAAAGTTTTAAAATAATCTATAAATTTTAAAAATAACTATACTTAGTTTTATTATTGTTTTACTATTAATTATTTAACAAACGAAATGACGTGATTTTAAAGATATATATATATTAATATATTAACGCTGACATATTTTTAATTTTTTCTCACAAAGGATTGGACATTTGCTCTTATGAATGAGATTTTTTAATTTAAAATAATTTGTATCCATCGAGTCAATGTGATTTAACTTCATAATAAGTGTGTATTCCAAGTATGTTAAAAACTTGATAATTAAAGTTACGAGATGAAATATAAATACTAAAGAGTGAAGTTATGAGGTGAGATCTAGAGGTCTAAGAGTATATTAGTAGTTTGAAGGTCAGCCAGATACAAGAGAGTTGAGATCTAGAAATCTAACCTCAAAGTTATGAGGTGAGATCTAGAAGCTCAAATCATAACTTGAGTAAGATTAGACAAGCTCGGACCATAAGGTACAAGGAGAGACCTAGAAGCTCGAGGTCAAGGCCAAAGCTTTGGAAAGTTCATGGTTGCAGCTTAGATGAGACTAACTTCATTGTCAAGGTATATTTGATAAACACAATTTATACCACCCTATTTTGGAAAATAGTCTACGACCACTCTCTCTATTGTTACCTCTAGTCTTGCGCCTCATTATCTTAGACCAGACTAACATGCACGCAATCACCTAGCAAGTTATTCATCTAAAATTACACAACAAACATTTTTGTAAATAATATTCTATGTGCAAAAACCATATGAATAGAAGATAAATCGAGCCTTTTCTCCCCTACAAGAGAGGGTTGATAACTTTTTTACATTTTCTATAAAAGAGGAAGTCCACTTTCAAATAGCATTCGTGTGAAACACAATAACACATTATTGGAATGATGGGAGAATCTTCGTTATGATGCTTAATGAGATCGAAGTCACATAATTAACTAATAATTAAACGACCACAACCTCCTCCATATGTTCGAAGTTTGAATTCTCACTCTAGTGATTGTAATTTTATTATTATTTTTCTTCTAATCAAGATCAAACCATCTTTGCATCCACGGCAAAGAATAAGGCTTTAGATAATTTGGAGGAAAGAAAAAAGTAGGAAAACGTTAAAAGACAAATTTACTCGTTAATTTAGGGCTCGTGAAATACTTTGTTTTGTTTCCAGCTAACATCAACTTTGGGTCACAACCAAATGATTCCCAACGGAAAAAGAGAGAAAAAGGGAGTGGCCACGTTCTCTCACACTGCCCATTCACCAGTTTTTTTTTTCTTTTCTTTGAAAAGGGTTGTTTCTTTTCACCTCCGACAAACGACATTCAGTACAGCTGCTGAAGCTGAAGTAACCCGACATGCGACATGTAGTTTTGGGTAGAGAAGTTAGATCAATGATCATAACACAAAAGGGGGAAAAACAAAGAACAAAATTTAATATCTTTAGATTTGTCCGTAAAATTAGTCGAATAAGTTATTATGGTTTCCTTGGTTTCCTTTCAGTTTTGAGGCAAGTTTACAATACTCCAGGAATTCATAACATTATGATAAAGTTCATAACATTATGATAAAGTACGTATATATATATTCTTCTTCAAAAGAACTATGTAGAGCTATCTTAGAAGACTTGGCTGTAATTTTCCTACAGTATAATGTAGAGCTAAGGTATTCTTAAATATGTTTGTAAAGAAAAAGAGAGAGAACTATTGTGGAAGCTTCTTCTGTTTTAGAGTTCATCCAAAAGCTAGTTATCTTCCATCATTAGTAAGCAACTGGGAGAAAACTTTGGTTGTACTTATGTCTGAATAATTATCAGTACCTTCATCTGAATGTCTCCTCAAGTTGCTTGGATGAATTGCCGTTGATGTTGGGAAGTCGGACTCGTCGATGCCCACGGGTTCCATCGGGTCGTTCTGTGGCCCGATTTGTAGTTGAAGAACGTACTCCAAGTTCCATAAGACATCTCCCATTGTTGGTCTGTCGATGCCATAGTCAGCCAAACACTTCTCTGCTGTTTCTCCATATTTCTTCAACGAGATCGGATTGATTTGCCCGACCAGATGAGGATCGATGATCTTGTCAAGCATGCCTTTCCTTTGCCAATGAAGCGCCCATTCAGCGAGATTTACTTGCTCCCTAGCAAGCAATGGATCAACAGCAGGCCTAGCACAAAGAACTTCAAAGAGCACTACTCCAAATGAATACACATCTGACTTATCAGTGAGTTGTTGCCTTCGAAAATACTCAGGATCTAGATAGCCGAAGCTGCCTTTTACTCCAGTACTAACATGTGTCTCGTCGAGACGAGGCCCGGATCTTGAAAGACCGAAATCAGCAACCTTGGCAACATAGTTTTCATCCAGCAAAATGTTGGTGGATTTGATATCCCGGTGGATGATGCCCTGTGCAAAACCAGTGTGGAGGTAGTGAAGACCTCTGGCTGCACCAATGCAGATTTCTAGCCGTTGCTTCCACGACAAAGGCAATACACCGGAGCCATACAATTGCTTTTTCAAGGGACCTTTGTCCATATATTCATAAACCAGTATCATTTCTGACTGTTCTTCGCAGTATCCAACAAGTGAAACAAGATGGTGATGTCGAATTTTCGACAATATAGCAATCTCAGTGTGGAACTCTGGAAGGCCCTGCCTTGATCCCGGCACGCCTCTCTTCACAGCAACCTTTATATTGTCCCTAAGAACTCCTTTGTAAACCATACCAAATCCACCAGAACCAACTATCAAACTCTTGTCGAAATCATTCGTTGCAGACTGAATTTCGGTGAAGGGGATCTTCAAGCTGTGGTATCCATTTGGCCCAAAGGATGCAAGAGTTGATCCCCCTGATAATTTACTATCAGAACTGCCTCCTCCATATGCCTGAACCGAAGTCCAGCCTGCGCTCTCTGCCCGTTTCGGCTTCGGTTTCTTCCTCTTTTTGCATCTCAAAGCAAGAATTGCAGCAACAATCAAACATAAACCTACAAATCCACCAACAACTGGACCTATAATAACCCATAAATTTCTCTTCCTCGTCTCAGTTTCTGGGAACATATCCTTAGAATTCACCATTTCCATGATCTCTGCTCCATTTAAGATTGCATTATATATCAAAGAACTGCTCAGATCAGAGGGCCCAACGCTTATCTGAATATTCCCAGAACTGTCAGAATCCGCAATGAAATCAACATAAAGAGGAGTAGAAAGCTGGCGAGAGGTAAGAGATGACAAATCCAGGTCCCCATACGCAGAAAAGCCATTGATATATACATTGAAATACAGCTGATTAAGAGCTCGGCTAACAATATCACAGAAATGTAATCGAACCAAGTGCTTCACACCATTTGAATCCAATTGAAAGTTCCAAGTGATGTTAAACTTTGCACCCAGAGTGGAATTTTCCTTGTTCATCTGCTGCGCCGTCATATAAACGTTGTCCGGCGCGTCCTCCCTGGTGGCGCCGCCGGCCTGATAGTTCGGCGTGTGAAAAGTTGCGAAGGGCTTCGCCGCCGACTTCAAGACGAGAAACGGCTCATCGGGCACCCAGGTTCTCCATAGAGTGTCGTTGAACGGGGTCAATTTAGAACCCCCGACGTTAATTCTGTATTTGGTTTCTAAAATTTGCTGTGTAAGTTTGTAATACTGTCGAACTCCATTCGAATCCACCAGCTTAGCTCCATTGTCCGTAATGAGCTCCTTAGGAGCTGAAAAGACCTCGATAGCATTTGCGAACCCAAAACCCGAACCCGAAACCGGTTCGAAAACGATTTCGAGCACATTGGTGTCTATTCTCACCATAAACTCCTTAATTACAGAGTCGTTAACGTGAGAAATACCGGAAAGCAGAACTCCATTAGCCGAGATGATGAAATTCGCTGAACGCAACGCAAACCCCGGAGCCGAAAATGGCGAAAGATGGAACCGTAGCAAGTGAGTACCGTTCTTCTTAATGCTGAATTTGTAGGTTGAGGCGGAGGTGAAAACTCTAGCCGTGTGGTACAGGGAGGGAGAATCCGGAGGCGGATTCCGATCGGAGACCGCCACCGATCGGGCGGCGGAGAGAAATTCGGAGGCCGGTTTGGAGGAGTCGCCGACGAAGACGCGGTTAAAGAGGGAGGAGTTGGAGGAGGAGCCGCAGCTGAGGAGGTAAATGTCGGAGGGAACAAAATCGGCAGAAAGAAAAGGAAGAAGAAGGAGGAGAGAGAAAAATGGGAAGTTGAGGATCTCCATGGGAGGCGTTACAGTGTTGCAGAGAAGAAGGTGGTCCTGTGGAAAAGGAAAAAATAGTGAAATGGAAATAAGAAAATGGATTGCTGTGGGAACGGAGTCGCAGCAGAGCGTGAGTAACGAGTGAGGGCCAGGAGTGAAAATTTTAGGAAATTGAAGGACCAAATAAAATAATACGGCCCATTTAAATTTCAACTTTTAACAATTTTTTTTTTTTTAGTACTTAACAGTTGCTGTTCATCCGTTTGTATTGCATCTTTTGTCAAAAGGGATAAAATGACATGAGACATGAGCTGCCTCCTCTATCTCTCTCTCCATATAATGGTTTCTAGATTTTTTTCTTTTCCAATTTTCAACCATTCCATGACCAATAGTACTCTATACGTACCTAGTTCAGCATGCGTGTATTATGAATGGCAACCGTACATATTCAATTAGTTAAGTATATATTTCGTCAAAAATCGTTGATTCAAATTTACAACTTCTAGATGTTGTTGTACTAAAATCACCAATAATATTTTTTTTATAATAGTTAATTTTTAACTTTTTTGTTTTCAAAAATTAGGATTACTTACCTACAATCACTTCAATACGTTAATCAAACACGCATTTGAATCCATAGCTTAATTTCAAAACAAGTTTTAGAAAACTATTTTTTATTTTAAAAAGTTAACTTAGATTTTGAAAATATTTGTAAAATTTGGATAACAAACCAAAAAAAAACACGTGAGTGAAGTAATATTTATAATTTTAATTTAAAAAATTAAAATAAAATGATTATCAAATTTTAACTTTTTAACAATTATCCATATCAACACTTGTCTGATAATACGTCTTCTCTTTTTCTTGTAATTAACGTATTAACAATCTTAAGATATATATTATTTTCGTTCTTTAAACATGTGAGAGAGGATATATATGCTTGGTATTAATAAATTATAATAGTGATCACCTTTTTATGGTAGAATTTTACGGTGGCAATGATTATTCGCACTCATTTTTTAATGACCAAAATTCGGTAGTGGGCTGGATAATGGAATGCATGGCTATGCGAAGCAAAGATGAAGGGTTAATATAAATGGTTTCTATTATTGTTTTTAATTGGAAGTTTAAATTTACATATCCTAAGTTTTAAATTTAAAAAGAGATTATTTTAACTATAATTTATACATTATACTTCTCATCTCAATAATTTTATGTTCATGTTTCCTTGCCCATCGCTATAATCACTATAATTAATATTGCTAAGTGTGTTTCGTCTTTATATTCCGTAAGTAATGATCTATCCAATTTGACCATTATGATTTTTACGTTCAAAATTTCAAACATACTTTTAAAAGAAAATATAATTGTGAGAGCGTATTAAAAAATCGTTGACCACACAATGATGTCATGCCAATATTTCACACTACCATCACATCAATTTCACATGATCCATTTTTCTTACATTTAACATCACTCATTAATGCACTATAATGTTGTAACTTGTAGTTAATAAATTGATGTACAATTAATTAAACAAAAAGAACAAAGAAACCAATCAAGAAAGCCTAGAAACTCCATCACGACGAATACAAGAAATACACACAAGAACTCCTAAAACCAAGTGGGGCAAATAAAATAAAAACCATCGGTGAAAATATATCACAAGCAAATTCTATTAATGGACGGGAACTAAAATAAACACTATCTAATTAAGTAGCAGCACAAATAAGATGTAAAACGAATGAAGCGTGACGATAAACACCATTATGGATTCTGAAATTACGTTTTCTCCACATATAAGATATATAAGTGGCCCAAACTTCATATTTAGGCAACAACATCTACTAATATGACAAATTTCACTCCAGCTTTATATCCAAATACGGCTAATTACCTAATTACAAGATTTTTTTAGTACAATATGTGGGGTGGGAATTCGAACTCACAACTTTTTGATTTGAGATATATGTCAATTATCGCGTTGAACTATGCTCGTTTTGGCACCTAATTACAAGAAGTTACTCCTATCTTAACTATGTTGAAATAAACATTTTAATTTTCAAGCTATAAGAAAAGAAATAGCATCCAAATCTAAGTAATTCCACAACTTTAATTAATTCCATTTATTTTGGAATAATTTTGGGGGTTGGAAATGGGGTGTTATCCAATACAACACTTCTATGGCTCTTGTGAGGTTGGCATCTCCAAAAAAGAATTTTCAATTCTTCTTCAAGTAGACAATGCATAGTGGTGATGGAGAAATTTGGGTGGTGTGTGTGGGCCCCATGACAGTGGGTGGGTGGGTGGGTATCATTTTCCTTAGCAAGTAAAAACCCATACTAATTTTGCTTAAATGCATCCTTCAATTCTACTTATTTTCAAATCACTTTTTTGCCCTTCTCTCTACCTTTGCCATAATTTATGGGAGCAATTAGACTTTTTGAGGATGAAGTATACATAAATAAAATAGAAAAAGCATACACATTTTAAACCAATATACTCCTTAATTCCTCCCAATCATTTTTAGCTCTATCATCAAAAATAACTCGTCTGAATGCCACTTCTACGTAAGAGACTTATTAAATAAAACATTAATAAAAAGTGCTTTTCATAAAAGTGTCTTTTTGACAATGTTACAGTTCAAACAAAAGGGATGATAATTTAAATTTGTGACCTTTAAACTAGATGATTATAATATCTTAAAAAATTTCAATAGATGATACTGAATTGTTTGATGCCTTTTATGATACTAAATTAGGAGATGGTTGAAACTATACGTATGGAATATAATTTATATGTGATGTTAGATTTGTTTTGGCATTAAATCTTAAGAAATGATAATAACTACTATGGTTGGTGCCAATCGAGCAAGTTCATCTTGTTAAAGTATATACTCTCAATTAAAGATTGGAAGTGGAAAAAAAAGTTTGAGTAACATTGAGATATAAAGTAAAATAAATTTAGAAATAATGAGCTCATATATCAGTGGTTACCTACCTACGATATTAAAATCTTGACCATGGTGATAAATATTGTGGCATTTTTGGGAACTACAAGGATATATTATATAAGAAAAAATTAATTTCTTAAAAAATATGAAAATTATAGTTGCTACTTGCTATGCGTTTGATAACTTTTATTTTATGCTAAATATAGGAGGTGAGTCCTATTTTTTTAGTTGATTATCAATTTGGTCCTATTTTCTTTGGTTAATTATCAACTTAGTTCTCAATCTTTTGCCATTTATAATTATTATTTATTATTTTCATAATAACACGTGAGGTGGAATCGAACTCATACTCTTTATATTTGAGATGTATGTCAATTACCACTAGACTATATTAGTTTTGGTAAATTTATAATTCATTTTTAATTATGTCATTTCGTAAAAAAAATAATTACTGACAAAAAATTAATATTTTATTAATATATCTGAACACATGATTGACACGACACATAAAACTAAACTTATTGGTTGGTAATAATTGTTGGCATTTGGTACTTCCCTCTCATTGTTTTTTTCTACTATTTATGTTTTCAAATCCAATAATGGCCCTCTACTAAAATCTAATAAATTATTTATAATAAATTTAAAAGAATGTTAATTTAATTAAAATCTAATTTTTTAAATACAATATGTTTGGGAGTAAATTCGAACTCACAACCTCTAATTTGGAGAGGTATTTGATTTGGCGTCCCTGTCTTACCTCGGCTCGGCGGAGGGCACGAATAGTGGGGTGTCGCCCGAGTCCGTTGTTCGACGTATGGTGCGTGAGTGGTGATTCGATAGGTTGGGTCGGCAGGCTGGGTGCTCGAGCATCGAACTGTTGGCATGATTCCTCCTCATTGATTCAACGTGCCCGAAGTAGTAGTACATTCGAGTGACCGCAATGTGGATTGGTTCTTGCATTGTTTACCTTACGCGATGGAAGCGTTGAGTCTCGTCGGTCGGTCCCAGTCCCAGTCCCGAACCGTCGACTGTCGGTGGACTGCTTGAACTGCTTTCGCGACGAGAGCGGATCAACGCGTGCCGGCCGGGGGATGGGAACGGCTCATTCGAGAGCCTTCCCTGAAATCGAACAGTCAACTTAGAAATGGTACGAATAAGGAAAATCCGACTGTTTAATTAAAACAAAGCATTGCGATGGTCCCTGCAGATGCTAACTCAATGTGATTTCTACCCAGTGCTCTGAATGTCAAAAAACCGGTGAGCTATACTCCTTTGACCAATTAAAATGTAATTACTTAAAAATAAAATAACTAATGTATATCATCTTTTATTTTCATGGTTCCAAGCGTCTGTTACCCATGCTATGGTTTGAAACCTTTAGACCAAACGGCCACAATATTTTTCCCGGGGTTTGGTGGAGGGAAGCCACGTTTTGGACGTTGCTCCATTGCATCATCGCTGTATTTTACCGAGCGATGAAGTCGATTCTCGGTGTTCTCTGTCCGTTCGATCCATCTCGCCGGAGATGGCCTCGCAAGTTGCAATTCTTCAAACGAAGTTGCCGGAAATCCAGCCGCCATGTTTTTCTTCCACCAAAAGCTCAGCCAGGTTCTTCAGGAGCATTACGATGGCACCTCGGCCACCGGTGTCCCATTTATCGTCGTCATCACCAGCTGCTGAAATTGGAGATCGGAGATTCTGGAATTTTCCTAGCACTAGTTTCGGAAATTTTCAATTGCGACGGCGTATTGCTGTAAAATCTCATTTGAAATTGAATCTCCCGCTAATTTCTCCGCATGATCAGTGGGGCAACTGGACTGTTTTATTTTCCGTAGGAGCCTTCGGTATCTGGTGAGCATTTTTCTTTTATTCTTTAGGTTCCTGATTGAATTAGGGATATATAGTTGGTGAGAAAGTAAAAATAAACATACGCTATTCTCTAAATCTAAGTGTGTTTGTAGGAATGCATGTTCTTTAATTCCTTTTAGACCAACCTTTTGTGTTGATACTTTTTTTATTGCTTTCTTTAAATTGAAGGTCCGAGAAAACGAAGATTGGCAGTGCACTAAGTGGTGCCTTAGTGAGCACATTGGTAGGACTTGCAGCCAGTAATGTTGGGATTATTGCATCTGATGCTCCAGCTTTTCCCATTGTTTTGGAGTTTTTGCTACCGCTATCAGTTCTTTTGCTGTTATTTAGAGCAGATTTGCGTCGTGTAATAAATTCAACTGGCACTCTTCTCTTGGCCTTTTTGTTAGGTTCAGGTAACGGCCCCCACGAAGACCTCCACGATTTGTCTCGGAGTTTATGATTCTCAAATCTTGTTTTACATGCCATGTTGATCTGACTTGGTGGGTATAATTTGATCAATTTCAAAGTTACATTTAAACTACAGATAACATGGCTTTTCTTTTTCTTGACTTTGCATGAAATGTGATATACTTTGGAACTCTCTGCTTAACAAAGATATTGAATTAAGTTGAGAGAGAAAAATTGTACAAAGTATGGCCACAGGATAGTCTTGACAAGCTCTGCTGTTGTTCTCTTTCTTTGGATAGTTGGAACAACAATTGGAACCGCAGTGGCCTATTTTCTCGTACCAATGCGATCGCTTGGTCAAGACAATTGGAAAATCGCTGCTGCACTAATGGGAAGACATATTTGTGGAGGTGATTTTCTCCCTTCATCCCATCTTCTACTTCTATTTGAATATTTAGGCAGTTCTAATTGCAAGTAGTGACATATTGATTCATTGAATTATTAACTTTCACTTCACTATGGCAGGTGCTTAATTCTTTCCTTTTTTGGGTGCAGCTGTCAATTATGTTGCTAGTTCTGGTGCTCTTGGTGTTTCTCCATCAGTAATGGCTGCTGGACTTGCTGCAGATAATGTAATTTCTGCAGTTTATTTTGCAACATTGTTTGCATTAGCATCTAAACTACCTGCTGAACCTACACCATCAAGCGATAGTACGTATATGAACAATGGTTTTGGTTGAGAAGTTTTTTGCAGCTTTCCATATATTGCTAAAATTTGGGGAATTATCATGTCTGTGGTCAGTTTCATAGGATTAACTAGAGATTTCATATTTATATTTCGTATTATCTCTGAATTACGGAAATTGCATGTATCGTAGATGTCAAGAAGGATGCAGAGGCTGAGCATAACAATAAACTTCCAGTATTACAATCTGCCATATGCCTTGCTGTATCATTTGCCATTTGTAAGGCTGGTTCCTACCTGACCAAACATTTTGGAATTCAAGGTGGTAGCATGCCAGCAATCACAGCTGCAGTCGTGATCTTGGCAACCATTTTTCCTAAGCCGTTTGCTTACCTTGCACCTTCTGGTGAGGCTATGGCTGTGATTCTGATGCAGGTAGCTTTCGCACATTACTTGCTATGCCGATTCATCCATTATAAGTGGTTGACAATAATCCTGATAGATTCGAGATTGTGCAAATAATATACAACTCTATATGGAAGGTTTCTCCCTGTGGTCTCTTTAAGATTTCCCTCCATCCATAGAAGAGATATTATGCCCACATTGCTATATATTTCATCCTTTCTGAGGCATGAGATGTGTTATACTCTTGTCAAAAAAAAAAAGAAAAAAAAAAAAGAGATGTGTTATACTCTTTGTTAAATCACCCCCATCAACCCAAAACCACCTTAAGTTGATGGGTTATAGTAAATTTAATATGTTATAGATATCTTAATCTTCTCCTCACTTGTTGTACCAAGGAAAAAAAAAACTCACTTCAAGGCTTAGAAACTTGCACAAGTCCCAACAACAGAGGTTTAAATATAGGAACTTCTATTTTGATACCGTATTAAATTTCCAATGTACCCAAAAGTTTAAACCGATAGGTTACGACAAATTTATTCTCTTAGAGATAAATTGACTTGACACTCTTGCCTAAGTTTCATATATTTCTGTTTCCAATGTTACATGAATGTGGGTGCAATTTGTATTTTACTTCTATACTTTGTCCGGTCACAGTTTTGAAGTTTATTGGATTTATTTTAAACAGTAAACAAGGTACTTTGTAGAGGAAAATTGGAATGATCTGTGCACCTTATTGTCTGTGTGACAGGTTTTCTTTAATGTAGTGGGAGCAAGTGGGAATATATGGAGTGTCATCAACACTGCACCAAGTATCTTCATGTTTTCTCTTGTCCAGATTGCAGTCCATCTTGCCATAACCGTTGGTCTCAGAAAGCTGCTTCGTTTCGACCTAAAGTTGTTGCTGCTAGCATCGAATGCGAACATTGGAGGTCCCACGACAGCGTGCGGGATGGCCACAGCAAAGGGTTGGAGTTCAATGGCTGTTCCTGGAATTCTTGCTGGAATTTTCGGAATCGCGATTGCAACTTTCCTAGGTATTGGATTTGGATTGATGTTCTTGAAATACATGTAAAACCATTCAGTTTCAGATCATAAAATTGCTGGTTTATTAGTTTGTATAACTACTTTAAGAGAATAATGTATTTTAAAAAAGGATTAGAGTAGCTTTTGAAACTAATTTTAGAAGTAGGATAGGTAAATCGTTTGGTTTGGACGTGTTTAAAGTTGAATCCGTAGCCTAACTCAAGTTGGGAGTAAAACATAGGTGATACACACAATTTAGGGTATGCGGATGTGGCTTGAGCTGGTAGATTGGAGCCAAGAAAATTTTCTATACTACAGTAATATAGATATTACTGTCATTTATTGTCTGCTACGTCAGCATCATTTGAAAATGACGTGAGATTCATCAACATTAAAAAATTATTTATAAATGAAAATTTGTGAGGTCAACAGGAATTAACTTATATGAAAAATTGGTTTTTTTTAACCATCTAATTGTTGGACTGATTTAGAGTGAAAAATGGAGTTTATGAATTGATTTTTCACTTATATGATTTTGTATTTAAACCTATTAAATATTTTGTAGTTATTATTTTTTTATGTTTTTAATTGTATTGAACTGATTTTAGGTATATTTAGTCTGTTTTTTGTAGGTTTTTTGTTTTGAACTATTTTGTGCATTGTAAACTGCTTTGAGATTTTGGACTTCTTTGGACGTTGTCGTGTGTATTGTATTAATTATTTTTACAATTTTAAATAATTCAAATAGTTACATCATTAGCTAATTTATTTTATTTGATGGACCATGTACTATTTTTAAATGATATCTTGGGTAAATAATGAATAGAGGCAGTATAGAAAATTTTCCATCCTACACTTGAATTTTTTCTAAATAGTTTACTCTGAAATTTTTTTTTATATTAGGGAATACCATATTCTTTTTGTTTCCATCATAATTTTGTTTTTTTAATATAACGGTGGAAATTCAAACTTTCAACCTTATATTGGATACATACGCTTTAAGTTTAATCCACTAAGTTATGTTCTGGTTGGTACCTTAATTTTATCTTTATAAATAATTTTTAATATTAATTGATCCTGCATCATTTTCACTAGGAATATTACTCCCGAAAGCCCGATCTCCACTATTAATTGGACAACTTTTTGAGTTCGCATCTTCACTTGTACTAAAAAAGGAAAAAACAAAAAATGGTGGCAGCACGCGCGAAGTATTTTTCTTTAAAAATAATATTCCCGGGCTCTGGGGGAGGGAACCCACGTTTTTACATTGTTTGTATCACTGTATTTTACTGAGTGATGAAGTCCATTGTCGGTGTTCTCTCTCCGTTCAATCCATCTCGCCGGAGATGGCATCGCAAGTCGCAATTCTTCAATCGAAGTCACCGCAACTCCAGCTGCCATGTTTTTCTTCCACCAAAAGCTCAGCCAGGTTCTTCAGGAGCATCACAATGGCACCTCGCCCACCGGTGCCCCCTGTTTCGTCATCATCACCAGCTGCTGAAATTGGAGATCGGAGATTCTGGAATTTTCCTAGCAATAGCTCCGGAAATTTTCATTTGAGACGATGTATTGCTGTAAAATCTCATTTGAAATTGAATCTCCCACTAATTTCTCCGCATGATCAGTGGGCCAACTGGACTGTTTTGTTTTCCGTAGGAGCCTTCGGTATCTGGTGAGCGTTTTACTTTTATTCTTTAGGTTCCCGATTGAATTAGGATATACAGTTGGTGAGAAAGTAAAAATAATCATATGCTAATCCGTAAGTGTGTTTCTAGGAATGCATGTTCTTTCATTCCTCATTAACTAAAACAACAAGAATGACCAACAATTCACTGGAATTTGTTAAAGTTCAGTGTAGTAGTATGAGGTTGGGGCCTTCCAATTTTGATTGTTTATCGTGTTTTCTAAATCTGCAAAAGGAAAATCTAGTCTATAGCTTTGTTTTGTGCTTTTGGGTCTTGTTTGTTTCGTATGGGCAACACGTTTTTTGGTTGGATTTCCGATAAACTTTTGTAATTGATTTCCTTGAATGGAAACATTGTTATGTATCGAGAAAAGATCGTTGATGTTGTAGTGCAGTCGGTGCTCAGGTGGCCCGTAGCCAAACTGAGCTTTAGGATGTCTGGAGATTGAAGCTTGACGAAATGAACATGGATTATTTTTGCCTGGATAGGCATTCTTTCATTTGAGAATAAGAAAATATTTAAAATTTTGGTAGCCACCTACTTACAATATTATAAATTGTACAATTATTCGACTTCAAATTTGTGAGATCTGTTGAGATGTAAGTTAGTATGTTCACTCATGAGAAGAGATTTGGCATCGATAGAGTTTTGATTCTTAAGAATGTATAGGCTATTCTGACATGAAGTTCTGGTCTTTTATCTTTCTTTTTCCTCTTACGTTAAATGATATTAGTTTATGGGCTGTGAACCAACCTTTCTGTTGATCCCTTCTTTATTGGTTTCTTAAATTTAAAGGTCCGAGAAAACGAAGATTGGCAGTGCACTAAGTGGTGCCTTAGTGAGCACATTGGTAGGACTCGCAGCCAGTAATGTTGGGATTATTGCATCTGATGCTCCAGCTTTCCCTGTTGTTTTGGAGCTTTTGCTACCGCTATCAATTCCTTTGCTGTTATTTAGAGCAGATTTGCGTCGTGTAATAAAGTCTACTGGCACACTTCTCTTGGCCTTTTTGTTAGGTTCAGGTAATGTCCCCCATGAAGACCTCCATGATCTGTTTCAGAGTTTATGATTCTCAAATCTTGTTTTACATGCCATGTTGATTGGTTCTTGACAGGCGATTATGACTTGGTGGGAACAATGTGATCACTTTCAAAATTAGATATGAACTACAAATAACATGGCTTTTCTTTTTCTTAACTTTGCATGAAATGTGATGTACTTTCATTGGAACCCTTTTCTTAACCAAGATATGGAATTAAGTTGAAAGAGAAAAATTGAACGAAGTATGACCGCCTCCTATTGGGATTTACATCTGAACCATTCAGATTATCAACTAAGAATTATGGCAGAACCGTTCATGAATGAACGTCCACATAGTAGGCTTAATCCAGAGGAAAATATATTTAGGTTTTGATTCCAGAAAATCAAAGAATCTCATCTGACCTATTTTGTCGCCATATAACTTCAGTTATGATAATATTATGTATTTTTGGATCAGGTTGATGTCCAATAGATGACATTGGTTAATAATCTGATATATTCACTTCAAACATTAGTTTCTTTTTGGTCATTCACACTCACCAAGTAGGATCGTCTTGACAAGCTTTGCTGTTGTTCTCTTTCTTTGATTAGTTGGAACAATAATTGGAACCGCAGTTGCCTATTTTCTTGTACCAATGCGATCGCTTGGTCAAGACAGTTGGAAAATTGCCGCCGCACTAATGGGAAGACATATTGGTGGAGGTAATTTTCTCCCTTCATCTCATCTTCTACTCCTATATGAATGTTGAGGCAGTTCAAATTGCAAGTAGTGACATATTTATTCATTGAACTATTAACTTTCACTTCACTGTGGCAGGTGCTTAATTCTTTCCTTTTTTGGGAGCAGCTGTCAATTATGTTGCTATTTCTGGTGCTCTTGGTGTTTCTCCATCGGTATTGGCTGCTGGACTTGCTGCAGATAATGTAATCTGTGCAGTTTATTTTGCAACGTTGTTTGCATTAGCATCTAAAGTACCTGCTGAACCTACACCATCAAGCGATAGTACGTATATGAAATTTCACTGGTCTTTATGAACATACCGCTGATTTGTTAGCCTGTACAATCTCTAACAATTGACTGTTTTCCTGAAAAATGGTTTTTGGTTGAGAAGTTTTTTCCAGCTTTCCATATATTGCTAGAATTTTGGGAATTCATGTCTGTGGTCAGTTTCACAAGATTAACTACGGATTTCATATCTATATTTTGTATTATCGTCGAATTAGGCCTCTTACGGAAATTGTGTAGGGTAGATGTCGGGAAGGATCCTGAGGCTGAGCATAACAACAAGCTTCCAGTGTTGCAATCTGCCACAGCCCTTGCTGTATCATTTGCCATTTGTAAGGCCGGTTCCTACCTGACCAAACATTTTGGAATTCAAGGTGGTAGCATGCCAGCAATCACAGCAGTCATCGTGGTCTTAGCCACCATTTTTCCGAAGCCATTTGCTTACCTTGCACCTTCTGGTGAGGCCATGGCTGTTATTCTAATGCAGGTAGCTTTCGCACATTACTTGCCATGCGGATTCATCCATTTTAAGTGGTTGGGGCAGTCTTCATAGTGCTGCAAATTGACACTAATCCTTTTTTATGTGATAGTTTTCAAATTCTATACAACTGTATATGAAAGGTCTATATTGGGACAATGTCTCCTTGTGGTCTCTTTAAGATTTCCCTCCATCCATAGAAGAGATACGATGTCCACATTGCTAAATATTTCATCCTTTCTCAGGCTTGAGGATGTGTTATACTCTATAATCTTGACTAAGTTTTGTAGGATCCATGGATTCGTTTGGTAATGTCTCTAAGCAAACGTTTTTATTTTTTAATTCTTGTTTCTCATTTCTTGTTTCCTCTTCTTTAATAAATAAAAACATAATTCTTTTTTTTCTTTTATAATTATTTATTGCAAAAAGAAATAGAAGTGTATTTGGTAATCATCTACCAAACACTTATGTTTAAACTGGGAATGGGAAACAGAAATAAAAACTGGGAATGGGAAACAGAAATAAGAAGCTGGAACAATACCAAACGGGCCGGTATATTTCTGTTTCCAATGTTACATTAACTAGGGTGTAATTTGTATTTTACTTTTATCCTCTGTACATTCACAGTTTTGAAGTTTATTGGATTTATTTTAAACAGCAAACAAGGTAACTCTGTAGAGGAAAATTGGAATGATCTGTGCACCTTATTGTCTATGTGACAGGTTTTCTTTACTGTAGTGGGAGCGAGTGGGAATATATGGAGTGTCATCAACACTGCACCAAGTATCTTCATGTTTTCTCTTGTCCAGATTGCAGTCCATCTTGCTATGACCATTGGTCTCGGAAAGCTGCTTCGATTCGACCTAAAGTTGTTGCTGATAGCATCGAATGCAAATGTCGGGGGCCCCACGACAGCGTGCGGGATGGCCACAGCAAAGGGTTGGAGTTCAATGGTTGTTCCTGGAATTCTTGCTGGAATTTTCGGAATTGCGATTGCAACTTTCCTAGGTATTGGATTTGGATTGATGTTCTTGAAATACATGTAAAATCATTCAGTCTCAGATCATAAAACTGCTGGTTTCTTCACAAGTGTTTGTATAACTATTTTGAGGGAGTACCTTTTCCTTCTTAATTGTTTTCTCGAAACGTATTAGAGAGCTCATTTTCTTGGTGTGTATTTGGCATGCCATTCAATGAAAATCATCTGGGTTAGTCCAAAAATTTAGAGAGAATGAATTCGATGGGTTCAAAGCTCATGATGGTCAATATCTAAGAATTAATTTCTTATGTATTTCTTTGACAAACAAATGCGATAGGATAGGTGGTTGTATCGTAAGATTAGTCGAGGAAACACAAATTGGTTCGAACACTCACATGTAGAAAAGAAAAAAAGTCTATATAAAAAAAAAGTCTTCTTAATGGACAAATTGAATTGAATGGGTCTCGTCAGATAAGGCTCACAGCCTCCAAGTCTCCAAGTAATACCTATTCAGAAGTCGTGTGTTCAAATTTTTTTTGGTGAAATTAATGAAGAAAATTGTTAGAAACAATGGACATTATAGAATGTCAATGTGATTTTAGATCAACTTATTTATTATTAACTTGGAGATAATTTATTATTAGTATTGTTCATGTCAGCAGCTTACGGGGTAGGCCTTCCATAAGCACTATTATTCATTTTCCTGATATAATTCCATAATTATTAATTTGTTTAGTACTTGGGAGATTTAGGTCATTCTAAGAATAATTCTTCAACAATTAAAATTGATTTAGGGCTTTTACTACTCTTAAAAAAATAAAATTTAAAGAATTCAATAAATACATTAGTATTATTCTACTAACTAGACGGAGAAGAAGTAACATTGTACATCTTATGGGTGTCCCTACAACTCATATATTTTCACATATATTTACTTATTTTTTAAATTGACTATTTATTAATTTCATAAACCATAATGGTAAAATTGTGTTAAGTCTTTCTGAAACTATCTTTTTAATTATCAAAATTTTAAACTAATTATAGCTCATACACATTTAAAATTCTCAAATTCATTCCTTCTCTAAATCCAAGGTACAAAAATGTCAGAATTTTAAATTAGTGGATTAAATACCCCACATTTATTTATTTTTAAACTATATGTTGTGTTTATCTTTAAAGGATTTAAAAAAAAAAGAAAAAAGAAAGTCGCACTATTGGCAAACTAACCATCAATATTATATAGTATTTTGAGTTCCAAACCTCTTATATTTAGTGTTTTAAAGTTATGGAATTGTAGTACGTCGTTGTACTATCAACTAGCTCAACCCTTTGGTCGGATGTACTACCACTACATAAAATAATAATAACAACAAGTCAACCATTTTTTATTGTATATTTAGTTTTATAGACATCTACCCAATGGATCCATTAATTGAATGGACAAATGATTTTTTTCAATACAACAGATAGAATAGAAGATCGAAGTGACAATTTCTTGATTTTAGATATATCTCAATTTTCTGTGAGTTACGCTCAATTTGGCATTGGACAAATGATTTTTTAAAACTTAATTTTGGTTTGTTTATAAAAGTTTGATATTTGAATAATATTTGATGGTTAGAAATCTTAGAGTTATACGTCTATTTGACATTAATAATGTAGAAATAGATAAGAAAATCTGAATTATTATTTTTGCTTGTATAAAGTTAAATTAATTGAGTATATTTGTCGTCAAAGTGAGAATAGTTCAACGGATATATCTCCAATCAAAAGATTGTGAGTTTGATTCCATCATCCTCACATGTTATACTAAAAAAAAATTAGTATATCCACACATCTGAACATAGTTCAACTGATTATGTTATCTATGAGAATGAAAAATGAAAAAAAAAAAGGAATTGTCTGAGTCCGGAGATATAAATGTAACGGTTGACTTTCCAATTAGTCCATATTATTATAAAGATCACTATTTCAAACCTTATTTATTTAGAGTAGATAAGCAATTTTCATGTTGTTTCGTTCTACACAATTGGGAAGTGGAAATTATATTTCAAACCTTATTCATTTAGAGTAGATAAGCCATTTTCACGTTGTTTCTTTCTACCCATTTGGGAGGTGGAAATTTTTTTATTTTCCATCAATTGTATATTAAGTAGGGTGAAAAAAAAAATAGCAATAGGATAACGAAAATGACCAAAATTATTATTTTTCTAGTCCAAAGATATATCACTAATAAATAGGTATTTTAAGAGTTCAATTTAAAAAAAAAATAGAAGAAACTTGAAGAGAATGTTTGAGGTATGAGGTGACACTTTAAGCCTAAAAATGTTAAATCTAAAAAGTGTTTGGGTGCGGATTTGACATTTTGACCTAAAAATGTTAAACCTGAAACTTAAAAGAGAGAGTTTAAAAAGTTCGGTTTTAGGAAAACTAGTGAGTCAGTTGAGTACCTTAAAGTAAAACTCAACCAAACTCGAAGCTTCACCTCAAACCCCACAAAAAGTACCTAAACCAAATTGAGAATTAAACTAAACTTTTTCATTTGTTCCAGTTTCTTGTTTCTCGTTTTCAAATTTTTTCGGAACATAAATAAAACCATTATGTTATCATTGGTTTATAAAATGCATAATAAATATTAAAAACTATAACATAAAAAAATTGAATATTTAATTTGAAAATAAATCTGATATAAAAAATTTTAAATTTTTCAGAGAACGAAAAATAAAGAGATGGCTACAAACATTTTTCCATTTCTTTCTCAATAGAAAAAAAAAAATCAATAGACAAGAACAATTAAAGGTCGGTTGGTAACGTTGATGACTTTGTTTCTTCATTTTTAATAAAGAAAAAAAAAAAGAATTGCACGACCACAAAATCTATGAATTCAAGTATGATAAAACAATGTTTCAATTATGTTTTGGAACAAATTGAAAATAGGAACCAGAAACTTGTCTGAGTTGTTTTCAAAATTTGTATATAATTTTGATAATATTCTAAAAAAAGATGAAAAATAAACATAGTCAACTACACGATGTTTAGATTGAAAATGAGAAACGAGAAACAACATATATAAACATTACCAAACAGTTCCATAGGATTCATTATGTTTTCGCTTATTTAAGCAAACCAAAAATAGAAACATTACAAACCGACTCTAAAAAGTCACATGGTTAAAGAAAGTGGGGGAAAACCACACTTTGACGACGACATGCATATAATTGAAGCAGCAAACTTCTGAGTTCTTGTGGTTATAAAAAGAGTGAATGAGAGAGTTAGAAGTTAGATCCTCCACTCCACAACCAAGAGATCATTACAATGGCAATGGCAATGGCCACCATGGCAGGAGCTGTGAAGATTATTTGTTTGTTAGCTTTTACGGTATGGCTGTGGATTTGGGTCCTTTTGCCCACTAAGCTTTACAAGATCACTTGGACCCCCAACCTCAACATGGACCTCAACTCCACATATTTCAGAGAACAAGGTTCTTAATTAGACTTTAATTAATTTCTTTGATTTCTGTTTTGTGGTTTAATCCTTTGTTTTTGGCAATTTGCAGGCACAAATCTTCTGCTTTTCTCTTTTCCCATCATGTTCATGGCAGCTTTGGGCTGTGTTTATCTCCACTTGCAGCGCAAGAATAATTCTTCTGAACAAGATCACGATGATCACAAACCCTTTTCTTCTCAAAGGTTAAATTTACGATCATAATCTTCGTCGACTTAAACTTTTTTGAGTTTAGTAGTGATTTTTTTGTTACGTTATGTGGTTGCAGGGGGCGCGGAGATTCATTTCTGAGGCGGCCGGTTTTGATAATGAATCCTCTGGGGATTTTGAACACATTGGAGATTGGGTTTGCAGCTGCATTTGTTGTGCTTTTGATTTGGTCTCTTGCCAATTACTTGTACATTAGCTTTGGGAATCTTCATATGGATCCTGGCGTGAAAATGTAATGTGTAATTCCTTTTTGGCGTATGTTTATGGAGCAGTGTTGTGTGAGAAAGCAGTTAAATTGTAAGTGCTTTTGGTGCAGTTGGCAAGCAAAGTTTCGAAGTGTGTCACTGAGAGTTGGGTACATTGGAAACATATGCTGGGCGTTTCTGTTCTTTCCAGTCACAAGAGGCTCTTCTTTGTTGCCTCTAATTGGACTCACTTCAGAGTCGACTATCAAATATCATATCTGGCTTGGCCACCTCTCCAATCTTCTCTTTGCATTGCACACCGTTGGATTCATCATCTACTGGGCCATCACTCATCAGATGGCTCAGGTGAGTTCATTTGCTTTACTCTTTTAAGGCCTGCTCTTTTGACTTATCGATCTTGATCATATCCCATTTTTTAATTGGATGTTCGTTTGAGCGTTTTAGGGTCTGGTACCATATTAATATTCCATCTCAGGTTTTGACAATGAGGGAAGTAGCAAATTTATGTTATAAACTCTTGCTAGGTCCTCTTTTTAACGTGGAATCCTTAATAATTTTCATTGGAATGTATTTGGTTTCTTGCTCGTGAGGACCAAGATTGAATGTTTGACTACTAAAAGAAAAAAAATGCAAGAGACTTCTTTTAGAAAATAATGAGTTGTCAAATTTTTAATGGTACGGAGACAAGATTTGGTCATTATTGCGGGAAAGAAACTAACTATTTTCCATTTTTATTTAGATAGCTAGTGATGATTTGAGGGGAAAGAAAATGTGTGATGCTCAGCTCGTGATCTTTGGGTGCTCAGTTTTTGTCTATTGAATTTTTCTGTCTGGTGGGTCTCTTTGTTTCTTTTGGTGCAAAGAATTCTACGATCTTTTGGATTCCTCCTTATCCTCTCCCTATGCATTTGAAAGTGATTTGATTCTTTTAAAGATTTGTACTACTTGTGATTTTCAAATTCTCAACCCATGTTTGGTAATTTTTGTTTCTAGTCCTTTCGTGGTGTTTGAGAACTATTTTTGTTCATCGTTTTTAACTTTACAAAATGCGGAAAAGTAAAATTAGATTTATCTTTTCTTATTTTTAAATTTTTCCTAAACATAAATAAAAGTATTGTTTTATCATCTATTTATTTATAAAATATGCCTAATGAATATTAAAAATTAAATATAACATTAAAAGATTGGATATTTTGTTTAGAAAATTAAGTTTATATATAAAAAAATATTTTCTTAATTTAAATTTAGAGAACCGGAAATAAGAAATGATTACCTAAATAATAAACAGTTACCAAATGTAGTTAGATTTTTATTTATTAAGAAAGAGAAAATAAAAAATAAAAATATTATCAAATAAACTCTAAAATATGATGTAATATTGATATGGATAGCTTTTGAACCAAAAAAATATACTTTTTAAATTAAAAAAATTACATTTTCTACTCACACTTTTTTGGAAAAGTAATTTATAGTGTGTGTCTAGTATAGTTTTCAAAGTGATTTAAAAAGATTAAAAATTATAAAAAAAAACATACAGTGTTTAGTAATTAATAAAAATTGTTTTTTAAAAAATAGAATCACTTGAAAAACTCTTTTAAAGAAAAACATGTGATTGACACTCTTACAGAGTACTTCAACTAAAAGATAGTTCAAACTCGACTAAAATTGTATAAAATTCGAACAAAAAGATTCATATTATAGTTTATCATCTAGGATTAGGGAACTTTAATTTATTGTATTTGATATATTTTAAACACTAATCGATTCCTTCTAAAATATATGGTTTCACTATGTGTTTCGAAATCACTTTGTTTATGCCGAGAACGGCTCATTATAAGGAACAATAAGAGGAAAGAGAAAAGAAAGAAGTTTTTAGCTAAAACAGCAGAAATCAACTCCAAAGCAAGAACCAATTAAGTTATTTTCCTTTGGTATATTGCTTCTAATGAGTGGTTGATCTTGAACTATTAGTAATTGAATGTGTATCATTTTGAGCAGTTGATACAATGGAGTGAAGACTATGTATCAAATGTTGCTGGACTGATTGCCATGGCATTCGCCACCGTTATCTGGGCAACGAGCTTTCGTCCGATTCGTCGAAAAATGTTCGAGGTCTTCTATTACACTCACCATTTTTACATTCTCTACATCATCTTCTATCTAATCCATGTCGGAGTAGCATACGTATGCATGATCCTTCCCGGAATCTTTCTCTTCGCCATCGATCGTTACTTACGATTCTTACAATCACAACGACGCGTAAGCCTGGTTTCAGCTCGCCATCTTCCTTGTGGTGCTGTTGAACTAAACTTTCTGAAAAGTCCAGGTTTAGTTTCTCTAAAAGCTGATCATTGAAATCAATCTCATTTTTCTCTTTTGCCCAATGTTTTGAATTGAATTTACTCTTTCATGATCAGGATTAAGGTACAATCCTACAAGTGTAATGTTCATAAATGTACCAAGCATTTCCAAACTACAGTGGCATCCCTTTACAGTCACTTCTAACTGCAATTCAGATGCTGATACAGTGACTGTTGTTATCAAATCAGGGGGATGTTGGACTTCCAAACTTCACCAACAGCTTTCTTCTTCTGTGGATCACCTCCAAGTTTCTGTTGAAGGTCCATATGGGCCTGCTTCTACTCACTTTTTAAGGTGATTATTCCCTCTAGAACTAAAAGAGACTTGATTTAGTGGAGTTTACTTACATTTGATTGATGTTTTTCTTTTGAAGGCATGAATCCCTGCTGATGATAAGCGGAGGTAGCGGAATTACTCCCTTCATTTCGATAATCCGAGAGATCATGATTGCCCGAAGCATGAAACCGGATTGCCACATCCCGCAGATTCAGCTTGTTTGTGCCTTCAAGAACTCCATTGATCTCACCATGTTGGATCTCTTGCTTCCAGTATCTAGCACACAAACAGAATTTTCAAATGTACCATTACAAATTGAAGCATACATCACCAGAGAGAAAGAACAGCCTCAAACAAATGCCGAAATGCTCATAAACACAACATGGTTTAAGCCAAACCCATTAGACTCACCAATATCAGAGGCTCTTGGACCAAACAACTGGCTGCTCCTTGGAGCGATTATCTCATCTTCGTTTGTGATGTTCTTGATCCTTTTGGCCATCGTCACTCGCTACTACATTTACCCAATCGAACGAAATGGCGACGCTGTTTACAATTACAATTACACCTACAAGGTTCTTTGGGACATATTCTTAGCATTTGCTTGTATTTGCATATCTTCTAGCCTTGTCTTCCTGTGGCAAGGGAAAACAAATGCTTCAAATGGCAAACAAATTCAAGTTTCCAATGTTCAAACACCAAAAACATCACCTGGGTCATGGATCTATGGAGGTGATAGAGAGCTTGAGAGCCTTCCCTGTCAATCACTTGTTCAAGCAACCAATGTCCATTATGGGGCCAGACCTAATCTCAAAAGTAAGTTCTGCTGCTTCTGCATCAACAAAAGCATTTAGATATATAGCAACTAAGAACACTAATGATATATGATAATATGTTTTTCAATGCAGAAATTCTGTTAGAGTGCAAAGGATCGGATACTGGAGTTCTCGTCAGTGGCCCGACCGGGATGCGGCATGACGTAGCCAACATTTGTTCATCTACTTATGCAGATAATCTAAATTTTCACTCTATGAGCTTCATCTGGTGAAAACTTGGAGTTCATTGCATAATTTGAAGTTTGAACCTCTTACATTACTGTAAATAACTTATGTTGGAAATATGAAGTTATATAATTAAAGGTTCCTGTTCTCGTTTTCTTTGTCTTTTCTTGAAAGTTTATTCAAGTGAGCCACTGTACACAAATACATTTCAACCCCATATCTCAGGAGTTACATTTGTGCCAAATTCATGTGAGAGAACAAACAAATAGCTTTTTTACTCTAAATTGGACAACATTACAAAACTGGCGAGTACGGCTCTATGCACAGAACACCACTACTGAACCAAAGGAATTAATAGAATCTTAGAGATGATGACGATCCTCATCTCAATCAAAAAACCAAAAAAAAAAAAAAAATTATTACAATCTTTCTAAGATGGCCTTTTAACATCCACAGAATCTTAAAGATGAAGATAATCTTCGTCTCAATCATAACCCACAACATTTTAACTAAAAACAACTTTTAACACTCCCATAGAATGTTAGAGATGATAACAGCCTTCATCTCAATCAAAACACACTACATTTCAACCATTACCAATCTTTCCAGAAAAGGCTTGAGTGTGCTTATGGTGTCTTTATCAATGTGAAATTGATACTATCCCTATCCTTCCAGAGAGAAAAGGGATCCTCCAACGAAGGTGATTTAGGGGATTTGCACGGCGGTGATGAATCATTAAGTCTTCCCCTTCCAAACAGACACAACTTTTTTGGATACTCATTAGCAACTGCCCACTCCATCGTCTCCTCCAGTCCCCAGTGCTTAAATGGACAATCAGCCTGAAACCCACACAATGAATCTAATTAATGATTACTTAGCCTGAAACTTTTGGGTTTAACATAGTGTATCGGGCTAAAAGGGCAGGAGGTCAAGAACACTATAATGTCATTCTTCCCGATTTATAATATCATTGGTGATTTAACAGTATTAGCAAAGAACTAGAGAGAAGTGGGGGAAACTGACCTTTTTAGGGGATGTCAACTCTTTGGGGAGATCTTTGACAAGAAGAAGTAAAAGATAATGAGTAAAGGTTTCAAGAAACATAAATAAAAGTGAACATTGTCAAGTAGATGCCGTCAACTTTACTACCATACCAAGTCCAACGATGCTCAGAAAATGATCCTTGTCGATAGAGTAATTTTGTACTTTAATGCATTCTCGATGGTTGTGCAGAAATCGTTCCTCGCAAATAGCATTGTGATGAGGAGAGTTTTCCCTCACGGTGCTCAACTTCAAGTTCTGCTTCTTCTTTGAGGCCTCGTGAAGGTTTGGCTTCCCAGAGTTTGAAATATCGGAAAGCACTTTTCGAGAACCCGTCTTCTGCACCCTCTCAGAGCCCTCCAGAATGTTTTTCTTTTTGCCTGCGCCAGCTTCTTCATCAATAAACTTGATATTCTTTGGGGTCTGCCATTTTGATGACTGGTTTAAGACTGGCTTTCTTGAATTTGATAGATCGCCGAGGGGCTTTCGCCCACTAAGCCCACTTTTTCTTAACAAATTGATGGCATTTGCCTTCCCTGTAACAGAGGATCCTGTGATGCAAACGATAGAAATTTAAAACCAGATCAGATCAGCCAAATAGGTTAAGAACAAACCAAACTACTGCAAATTTATACAGAAAGCTTCGAGTTCCAACCATTATAGTGGACATTATGATTCTCATCCTGAATAAGACCACCATTTTGCAATGCCATTTCCATTGTTGTTGATACTGCAGAACTGTAAATTCTATCCTGCGAATGAGAAAATGGAATTAAGTACGAAATTTTAGCGATGGCATAAATGAAAGTTTGCTTTCTAAATGTTAACCCATTAACAAAAGCATATGAACTCAAGTTACAGAGAATTAATAACATAAATGCAAAGGTTATAAAACTAAAATCATCCAATTATGCATGAAGATTGCGCTAATTCTTCCACTTTTTTTAAATTTTCGTTCTCAGTTTTCATGGAGGGATGCAATGAAGTTCTTTCCTAACGTTCAGATCATTCCTTAGCCAATCTCAAAAACAGAGAATCAGATCTTCCACGGGAAGAGAAAAACATGAATAACCAAAAAAAAAAAAAAAAAGCCCCAATTTACATAATAAAATTTTAGATGTCCAATTTCTATTACGAAATTTCCCATTTTATCATTTCACCATCTGTTCACAACATAGGTTGAAAGAAAGGATGACAAAGATCTACAGAATCAAGCTTTGACAGAAAAAACAAAACCCTAGAATCTTGTATAATTTTCATCAATTTCTTTATGATAATCTGTTTCTAAATTAAATATAGGAACACACTATACAGTGATCAAAAGAAAACAAGAAATATTCGACTGATGAGAGATTGAAATTTGAAATTTCCATGAAAAACAAAATCCTCAAATGGCAGAGATCAAGGAGAAGCTTACTGTTAGAACAAATTTGTAAACCTTCCTCTCGACTTTCTTGAATTTGTACTGGAGAAACTTCCGATTTCTACGAGTTTTAGTTCCTTGGAAAATATACAGTTATGGACTGGGACTGTACTTAAAATTAAATACTGGCAGCGGCAATGCGTCTCCAACGGTAACTTTACTTTTCCAGTGCTTTTACATTAATACCCTTCATTTGAGTACAATATTACCGTTGACAGAATTTGAGGAATTCTTAAATACATGGAAAAAAAGGGATTTCCATTTATGTTATATCTAAATTAATTTTTCATGAGAAATAAATAAGATTTTTTTAGTAAAAACTAAAAGTAATTATCCAATGGTTTATTATATAATTTTGTCAAAACTTACAAATTTCAAATTTCTAATCAAAAAGCCACTTTATTATCAGTTTTTTTTGTCTGAATCTTATTGGTGTGTATATGTTTTATAATTAATTTGACTAAAAAAATTATAATAATTCGTTTGAAACAACGAGAGTATTTTTTGAAATAAAAAATCTATAGCGGGAAAAAATTGTAATATTTTTTTAAAATTTATAGTGAAATTGTAATCCAAAAGATACATTTTTCCAAAACAATATGTAATTTATAGAAAAGTCATGTATTTTCATCACAAAGAGTCAGGATGGCCGAGTGGTCTAAGGCGCCAGACTCAAGTTCTGGTTCTCGTGAGAGAGCGTGGGTTCAAATCCCACTTCTGACATTTTTTATTATTATTTTTTTTTGGGAACAAGGAGTTGTACCCATTTTCGTTTCCCTAGTTCTAATCTTCTCCCTTCGTCTCTGGAGTTTTATATCTCCAAATATATAAACATTTTTTATAAAACAATTATATATTTAATATTGTACCAAAAAATTACATATATATTTAATATTTACTCATTAAATCAGTGAACTTTTTGATAAATTGAGTTCCTCATGTATATTTTTATGATAATTCATTTGTACTATTTTCAGTATTTCTTATTTCAAAACATCTCCAGTGCTGCTTTTTATCAAACAGTTAGTTCTACATCAAAAAATCTAAACGACAAATCTTCAATACATATTTTCTTTAACGGAGTTTTCTATTTATTCGTAAAGAAACAAATTTCTATGTTTGGTTACTTTCGAAAATCCTAGTTCATCGAACGGTCTATGCAGCGAGCTTCTGTTTCTTTGGCGCCTGATAGATACCGACAACACAAGCATGATCTCGTTCAAATGGTTCAAGAGTTACTCGCTCGATGGGTTTGAATTGATCTGCCTTTAACTTATTCACCTCACTTGCAAACACTGTCTCTGCTGGAACTGTTGAATCAATGCAGTTAGCTTGAAAATGTTGGATACCATATTATCTTATATTCTTGAATTATACCGTCCATTATTTTAACAAAATGCCAATCTTGAACTCACCTTAACAAAATGCAGTTGGCCTGAAACGACTTTTCTTTAAACCTAGGGTTTCAGAATTGCTCTTTATTTTCAAAAATGTCACTGACTAAAAAGGAGAGGAAGTTTCTTTTGTTTACCCTTTTGTTTTGTCCTTATTAACATAATAAAGATATACTAATATACACAGTGTATAAGTAAGTAATTATGATATTAGGAGCTCGACAAAGCCTAACTAATATATAATAAATCAATTATTTCCAAAATATTATTGATTTAACCTAATCTGTAGGGCAAATTCATAACTTTTCATTTGGATTTGTAAAAATTTATAGTGTTAACTTTAAGAAGTATATATTACAAAAACTAATTTTACAGTATTTTAAGGACAATATATGTGGCCTAGAATCTTTTGGTTGAAAATAGAATGTTTAATTAGTTGAGTTATGCTTAGGTTGATAATTTTAAAGTTGTTTTTTGTTTATTAAAAGTAGTATTCTGTTTTTATTTTTGGTTACCACTTGGTACACAATGTTGTTACTAATTGACAACTCATCCTCCATGAGCCCATGCAATGAAATTTGTCTGCTCATCACCAATTATGTTATCTTCTTCTGACTTAGTGTTCATTAGTTGACTTGAACTGTGCATTTTGGTGTAGGGGAAGTTTTTTCTTTTTTTATGTAAGTGTTCGGGTCCAGTTGCGCGCACATCGACTAACCTCACGCGACAGCTGTCTAACCTAGAGATGACCAAAAATATCCGTAGGACTTGATCTCCGCAGGCACCTGACCCGATCAGGTCGGATGGGACGGGGACGAGGATCAACTGACCTTACTACATATTAGCAGGGATGGGGATGGCCGCCCGGCCCCATCCCGCCCCATTGTCATTCCTAATCTAACCTTACTACATTTTGGTTACCAATAAAACTTATAGATATCATATCCTAACAAGGTGACCACTATAGTTTGAATTAATTTTCTTTAGGAGAAATTGTTAGATTCTAGAGGATAAATTAGTTAAAATCATTGTAGGAAAGAAAAGAGAGAGGGAGTAATATTGAGAGTCGTCTTCTTCGAAGTTAAAAAAAATATATGAAAGAACGATAGATAGAGTCATACCTCCGCAACTTGTTTGATCTAATTATAGGTGGTTTAGATTAGCATGCTTCTTAAACAATGAAAAACTATTAAATGCTTACTTTATATATATACACACACGTCTCAAATTTTATAAATCAGAGGGCATAAAATAACTAAAACATTTTAAGTATTTAAAAATGTTTTTTTTAATCCTAATAAATTAAGTGGGGCCAATTGCCTTCTTCCCTATTCACTCCCCTCTTGTATATTTAGTAGGGTGCATTTTGATTCTATTTCTATATAGTCTAAATCAAACATATTACTTGAATAAGAAGATTATATTTGATGGTAAAAGTTGACAAATAAACAAATACATAAATATAATAAGAATTACAAGTAATAATAATATAATATTACATCCACAACAACTCTAATATATGTATATAAAGCCCTTATAGAAAAATTTACATGGAGAAACTTCAATACACCTATTAATATTTTGGTAAATACTGGAAAAACAATTATATTATTCGAAGATGTTTGGCTTCATAATATTCTTAAAGTTATTTTTGTAAAAAAAAGCGTTATCATATTTGTGATCCAATACATTGTATAAATTTATTATTATATTAGATGAAAAATAAATTTTATCCAAATTTTTATTATAAACATAAATTTATTGTCATCTGGAACATAATTTAACAAATTAAGTCATATATCATCATTAAAATAATAAATATTTAAAATTTCCCTCACCTATTGACGTTTTTAACTAATTAGAAAATCATAGTTCTATAGGATATTCTCCAAACGTGCAATATTCTAAAGGAATAAATTAAAACTTCAACAAAAATAGAGAAAACTGCCAGCGATGCATCTATTTTCAGTGCTCCCAAAGCCCATTTCGATGGTCCATTTGCCCTTAAGAAGGTCCGTTTATAGAGTTTAAAAAAAGTCAGTGGCATTTTTGAAAATAAAGAGTGATTTAACTTTTCTTTAAGATGCAGCCCTAGGTTGAAAAATGAAAAATCACGTTATTTCTTCTCGCGCCGCAGTCCTTTATATTCTAAAACCCCGACCAAGGATCCTCTGTGCTGTATTGTTCTAAAACCCTAGCGCCGCAAACTTTTCTCCCTCGCTCGCTCGTTCTCTCTCGTTATCTTGTTGGTGACAGAAATGAGACCTCCTCGAGGTAAAAGAAATAAGCACAGATTCTACTCATTGCATCTTCGACTTTCTTGTTTTTGGGTTTCGAAGAAGTTCTGTTGAGTAAAATGAAGCTGAGTGCCTTGAACATAATGTATCGCTCGTCTGTTTGTTTTGATAAATGAACGAGTATGATTTTTCCATTCTTACGTCCTACTGAATCTGATTCCATTCTATGTTGTTAATCTGTTGCTTGATTGTTGGTTCCAACTCTCTGTTTACTTGGCGTTTTCCATTATTCCTTTTACTTGAGTTATCTACTTCGGAGTGTCTGTTTCATATTTTTTTGGGTCCTTAAAGTTGAATGAGTTTGATGATACGTGCAGGCCGCGGTGGTGGTGGTGGATTTAGGGGCAGGGGTGATGGAGGAAGGGGTGGTAGAGGTAGAGGCGGTGGTGGAGGTAGAGGTGGTGGTGGAGGCAGAGGTATGGCAAGCCGTGGTGGTGGTCGCGGAGGTGGAAGAGGTCGCGGTGGAGGAAGAGGCGGTGGTATGAAAGGTGGAAGCAAAGTTGTGATTGAACCTCACAGACATGAAGGCATTTTCATAGCCAAGGGCAAGGAAGATGCTCTTGTCACTAAGAATATGGTCAGTGGTGAATCAGTCTACAATGAGAAGAGGATATCCGTACAGGTGATTCACTTGTAATCTTGCCCTTGAAATGCTTGCGCCTGAATGTTTGTAAGTTTTGAAAGTATACTTCTTGAAATCGAGGGAAACCATTCTCATATGAAAAACTTCGACCTTGTGAGTGTTTGATTATTATCCGTGAGAAATTCTAGTTGGAAATAATGTCTCCAAATAGTTTTGCGTGGTTCTGGCGCAAGAGTTATGAAGTTCATATGCCTGTAAATATTTTTAACTTTCAAGTGCATCATTAATGCATGGTCTATTGTTCCAACTTGAATGCCTTCAATTTTTGCATGTATTCAGCTCTATGTTTTGGGTGTGTTTATAAGTTGTCTACAAAGCTAAATATTTTATATATACTGTCCTTCCAGAATGAAGATGGAACTAAAGTTGAATACAGAGTTTGGAACCCATTCAGGTCCAAGTTGGCAGCTGCAGTTCTTGGTGGTGTTGATGACATATGGATTGTTAGTGCTTTTTAACCGAAAATTTGGTTTTATCTACTTCTCTTTTCAAATTTTGTTTTATTTTTAATTTGTTAACATATGTACTGCAGAAACCTGGTGCTCGAGTGTTGTATCTTGGTGCCGCTTCAGGAACAACAGTATCGCATGTCTCAGATGTTGTTGGGCCTGTAAGTAGTTATTTATAGAGTATCTGTAGTAGTCTTTGATTGAAATAAAAGGGTGCTTAACCATTTTAGCTATGACTCTGATTTGTAGACTGGTATAGTGTATGCCGTGGAATTCTCTCACAGAAGTGGTAGAGATTTGGTCAACATGGCGAAGAAGCGCACAAATGTTATACCCATCATTGAAGATGCCAGACACCCTGCAAAATACCGAATGTTGGTTGGCATGGTGGATGTGATATTTTCAGATGTTGCTCAGCCGGATCAGGTTCATACTTTTTGCTTTTTCTGACTGGTCTTATTATTAGTGTCTTTGAACATCATGACCTTTTTTAGACTGATGGCACAACTTATATGATAAATTGAAACCATTGATTTTTTTTTTCTTTTCCCGATTGTTTTTTAAGTGGTCTGGTACGTTTCAAGCTGTGGTTTTTCATTTCTACGGTTTTGTTGTCGTTTGATTTAATGCTTCTAATATTTTCATCTCTCTATGCTTGAAGCATTTTTCTCTTTGAAATATTTAGCACATGACGAATTGCTCGGATTCCCCTTCAAGACTTATTGAATGATGCAAGTCCCGAGTTTCTGATGTTTTATAAAGACTTACTTTTGAATTGTTGTCTTAGTTTTTCAATTCTCTCTATTTTTCCTGGTCTACTTGCAGACTTTTTGTTTTCATGCCTTTTCTCCTCAAACTATTTAGCATATCACAAATTTTTTGGATTCCCCTTCAAAACTTCTTGATTGATGCAAGTCCCGAGTTTCAGATGCTTTGAAAAGAGTTGCTTTTGAATCGTCTTCCTTGTTTCTTCAAAAATGGTATCATTTTGTGAGATACTATCCTTGTTTCTTCCTTGTTTCTCCCGTGTTTATTCATCCTATTGCTATTCTATCTCAAGTGGATAGTATTAAATCAATCAAAACTTTTTTTTTGTTTAGGTACCAGTACCACTTCCCCGTGTTGGAAGTTCATAAGTTGCATTTCTTACTTTTGTGAAATATTTTTGTTTTCATATTGTCTTTCTGCAGATAAATTTGATATTGGACATAATGATGTATCTACTCACATTTTTTCCTTTTAGGCCCTTCATATTTGCTAAGCATGTGATGAATTACTCGGATTCCCCTTCAAGACTTCTTGAATGATGTATAACCCGAGTTTCTGATGCATCCAAGAATATTACATTTTGATATTACTTGTCATCGGTTTACCATATTCGCATTCTTGCTCAGCTGATTCTTTGAAGTCATTAACTTCTCATACTTACATCTCAACTTCTAGGGTTGACTTCTTTTAACTTCCCTTTGATGCAGGCTAGAATTTTGGCACTTAATGCATCGTATTTTCTCAAAGCCGGTGGCCATTTTGTTATATCAATCAAGGTGAGTTTATGATTTGCATTTTGTTAAATTCTATAGACTATATATAATCCATGAATAGAAGATAATATGGTTTATATCAAACATTTTCAGGCCAACTGTATCGACTCAACCGTTCCAGCAGAGGCAGTGTTTGCAAGTGAGGTGAATAAGCTAAAAGCAGATCAGTTCAAACCCACCGAGCAAGTTACTCTCGAACCATTCGAGCGAGATCATGCTTGTGTTGTCGGTATCTATCGGGCACCAAAGAAACAGAAGCCCGCTGCGTAGTTTATCATTGTTTCTTATTACTACTTTGTAGTTTATCACTGGAGGCTCTGTTTTTGATAACTTGGGTGATCAATGTCGGACATAATGTAGCTTTGTTTTTGCTCTCTCTTGTTTCTTCTGTTCGAAGTAATGTAATTTTATTTGATGAGTTATGAGTTTACTCTTGTTTAATTGTTGTTGAAGCATATACTCTTGGGTTGGTTAAAGGTGGAATTTCATTCATTAGATTGAAAAGATGGCTAAGATTTTGTGATCTGTCTTGAATAATCTCAATAGCGGTGTTTGAATGTTCCACAGCTTAAGTTTATAGGTATGGAGAAAATGACAATATAGGTGCCCGGACTGCCTAGAAAATATTTGTCTGTTCTTTTTTCTTAAAATGAGAGATAAAAAAATTTACCAGTTTAATAAATAAAACATATTTATGTTGTCTCTTGTCTGGCACACAGGACCACTAGGCTATTTCAATTGATGTCCGAAGAATGCAAAATTTCTATTTAGTCTAAGAATTACATATATATTTTCCATGTATTTTATTTTTTAGTTAAAAAAATATTGTTTTTTAACCTAAATTATCGAGTTTCTCAATTTACTAATGTTGCAATTCCCAGAAAGTATTGCAATTTTTATCCGCTGAAAATTTGTTGAAAAAAAGTTGATAATTACAAAAATAGTTGAAAATAGGAAAAATTAATTATTGTAAAAATATTTACTTATAAGTTATAAGGACTCAATTTTTTCAAGTTTTCAAACTCACTAATTTATGTATTTTTTCTTTTTGAATTCCATTGAACAGTGGAGTTGAACTTTATATAAATTTTTTAAAAAGGTTTTTTTTCTTTTTGATTTGTAGTCGTTGACCAATTTATAAAGAAAATAGAATATATGTCAGAAATGGGATTTGAACCCACGCCCTCACACGAAGACCAGAACTTGAGTCTGGCGCCTTAGATCACTCAGCCATCCTGACTTGCTTACATTAATGATTAAGTTGTTATCTAGTATAATACATTTCTTTATTTGTAGGAAAAAGCGTCACTTTTTAGCCAAAATTTTCAACCATGAGTGTTTGCAAGATTCACCGTGAATTATAAAAAATGTTGCAACATGTATAGATTTCTTTTTTTTTTTAATTTCGTTAAACAAATATTTTCATGTTGATTGGATTATAAAATATATATTTTGTATGAAATTGATAAGATTCCAACAAAAATGACATTAGAGATATTTTTTTTGGTTAAAATTTATAAGTTTTGACCTATTCATTTCATGGTCGGTTTTGTACATCGAGCAATTTTAATTTTTTGAAAAGCTTGATTTTCGTTAGGTTAATGAATTTTTTGTTTTATGTTTTACATTATATTTTTTAAAATTAGTGGGTGAATCAATAGAAATTGAATAGATGGTACAAATAAAAAAACTTATCTAAGTTTACGATTTAATTGAATGAAATTAAAAGTTTAGAATGAGAGTTAATACAACTCACCAAATTTCGGGGCAAATATGGTTTTTTCCCTCTATTAGTCTATTTTTACTTATATATATATTTGATATCTTTGAGTGTCTAGACCAGCATGGACAAACGCCTCACCCTATTACATTTGGAGTCAATATAGTATCTATAGTAGCCTACAATGTTGTTGTCACTATTTTCAATGGTAGTGTCGCACTCTCATTTATGGGATCAATATCCAAGTTAGTATACGATGCAACAATCGCTTCCCAACTCATTTGACAAAATCATTAGAAGCCTGAGTGTGAATCAAATCTATTACTTTGGGTTCCTTGTGTTTTTGGAGAAGTGTGGTTGTCTCACTTTTATTTATACGGTCAATGTGAGTATTTACAACCGTCTGTACTAGTATCCCCTCCATTTATCTCATTTCTTGGATAAATGTCGATTCCTACGACCATCTGCAATGGTGTCTCACCTCTATTTATGGTATTATATTACTTACAAAAGAGTTCGTGAAGGAAAAACAAAAAGGCATTGCCTATTTGACTAGAGTATTCGGTGATTGAGACAGTCATATAAACAGTCAAAGTGAATGTAGATGATGAAACATACCAATCGAGTAACAATTGTTGAATAGAAAATTAAGGCTTATGGAAACCAGATCATGTCATTATTTATTTAGTTTTTTTGGTAATTGTACCTCGTTTAATAAAAATACCTAACCCATACTTCAAATAGATGACTTTATCACCTTTATAATGTAAGTTATTAATTGTAACATACATTAGTCGATTTTAATAGACATTTGCTCCTATTTGCTTTTGTCATGGTAGACGAGGAGAGTCTATAATGTGTGGTTGGTTTTTAGAAAACTGAAAAGATATATCGTAAGATATATTTGATTTCTGATCAACATAGAAGCATAATTTCGACTGTTAAACAATTAAAAAATCTTGTTTATCGAGTTGGTTCTCAATTTCAAATTTCGAACATGTATGTTTTCTTCGATAATGTTGACATTGAAAAATTGATCTAATCACATGATGGAGGGTCTTATGTTCTATAGATGCATAATAATAATTTTTATTTTTATTGAAATAGACTCCTAAAAGATCATTAGCCAAATATACATATATATTCTCTTAAAAAGGCAAAAGTGCTATACTCTCATTATCAAATCAAGTTTGGCCTCGGCCACCAATTATTTAATATGATATTAATATTCTATTATAACTCTATTAATATATGATTTCAATTCATAATTTAATTCACTCGAAGAAGTAATCCGAAGTTCATATTTTACCAGCCTAAAAAGAAGGAAAAACAGAAAATATATATTTACATTTGGAACGTGTTCCACTTAATTTTAATTGATATGGCAATTTATCTAAAATAATAATAATAATAATTGCTAGGACAACCATTTTCTTTTCCTTATTTATTTTTTCTTTTAGATTAAAAAGAGGTACGGGATTCAAACATTTGACTTTAAAAAAAGATGATGACAAGGCTAAAAGTGAACCGTGTTTGAATCTAAATGATGGATGAATATTCTAGCCGTCGTTTTTTTATTCTAGAAAATATCTCCTCTCTCTTTAAGCTCAATGTTAACTAACTCTATCAAATAATAAACATTAAAAAAATTATTTTAATTTAACAACAATGGGCAGAGATTTGAATTTCTATGATAGTTTAATTTTTCTTATTACTATTATTTTCATTCCACGGTTTTCCTTCCCCGACCAATTTAAATTAAACTATCGCTTTAAATACTAATAAATAATCTCAACAAGAAGCCTCATTTTTGGGAAAAAAAAATTAAATCCAAAATCCAAAATTTTATTTTCATTTTAGTTATTTTAATTATGATTGTTTCTCATATTTCTCTCTTTTGTTTTCTTGCCCATTTTCTTCGGTCATGGCATGGGGCGACGAGAGCTTTCGGGAAGAAAGCAAAAGCATTCTTTGCTTCCTCTACCTTCCTGCTCCCTTTTTCCTTTTTTATTAAAATAAGAAAAATACTGACATCAGCAGCAGCGTTCATTTTTCTACTAATTAAAAAAATATAAAAGTATTGTTTTTCTATATATTTTTTTTTACTTGTCAAAGTATTATGATTGTTGGCTTAAAAATTTAAATATTTTTATGTCATAAAAAGATGTAAATCTCAAAGACAAAAATAAATAAATAAAGGCATAGAAGGACACATGTGGAAATGTGGAATGAAGTAAAGGCTACGATTGGCATAAAATTCAGATAAAAGGAGGCCGTTTTCCAAATTCGTGTCCGCGTCAACTCCGCGTGGGCCCCCACTTCCTCCTTTTCAAATCTTCAATTTTAACTCTCTGCCCTTCCACTTGCTCTATTATTTGGGTTGAATTTCAAGAATAAAACCTTCCATTTTATTCCCATTGTTTTATTAAATCTTTTAATTAATTTAACATATAATCTTCTATCCTTAAATAAATAAATAAAAATAATTAAAGCGATTTTAATTGGTTGTATATGGTTTCAAAATAAATTTTACAAAATAGTGAAGTTAAACACTAAATAATTATTGAGAAGTTAAATACTAAATAATTTATTATATTTTTTTATTGAGAAGTTAAATACTAAATAATTTTCAATCACTATTAAATCTCATCCAATCAAACAGTGAATACCAACAAATGAAAAATGTTATCAATATATTACATTTTTTTTCAATCATTAGTTAAATAAACAGTATTCTATATGAAGAATCACATCGACATTAAATTGATGTGATGTATACAATTTGAGACATTTTATCATTTGATGGGTCTATTTCTGTAATAAACTATTGAATTCCAATTTCTACCTAATAAATTATTGAAAATATAGTTTTGGGAATAACTATTTTTTATTTTAAAATCTAAATTAATACTTATTATTTTATCATTTGATGGTCCCACTTTAAAAAGGTTGTCGAATAAATTTTGTAATTAAAAAAAAACGTTCAATAAATTTATAATCTTTCAATGTAAATGGTTGCAAATCATTAAACTTTAAGGTAATATCTAACAAATTTATTAAATAGGAGTTTCTTAACATAAAATAGAAAAATTTGCCATCCTAGCAATCGAAATATAATTACAAATAAAATACTTGTAAATAATAAATTTCAATGGTTCAATTTGTTTTGAGTTAAATTTTAATTTGACAGTTTGACAGAGAAGACTCTTGACCAAAAGCCACCATGCGGGGTCCACCATGACATCAGCTTGCTTAGTTGTTAAGCAAATACCATCCGTTACTCGCTCCCCCACTTTTCACCTTCCCCAAATTTATCCTTGGTCTTTCGTGGTCCATAAGGACAGTATCGTAACTTCACATTAGCCAACAGACTAAACAAATGTCGCGTGTGGCACTTTTGTGATTAACTAAAAAGCCATGGGCAGTTCCGGAATTAGCACGGTTCAGTAGCTACGTGTCCCCTATAAATTGTCCAAATCAACGTAGCCTTACCAGAAGTAAGCAACGCTTCAAAGGATCCGATTCTCCTCTCTCCGTCGTACCGTGCAACTGAGTTTTCCGGCACCGGCGATGGCCTCTCGTTACGAAGTGGAGGTGAAAATTC